CTAGGAAAAGGGTCTAATGTTCATACATACAAAAACCTAGCTTTGCAGTCTGGTAGCCTGACATCTAAAACCTTTCACCTTTTTTTTTTTTTTTAATATATATATTTTATTGATTTTTTTACAGAAAGGAAGGGAGAGGGATAGAAAGTTAGAAACATCGATGAGAAACATTGATCAGCTGCCTCCTGCACACCTCCCACTGGGGATGTGCCTACAACCAAGGTACATGCCCTTGACCGGAATCGAACCTGGGACTCTTGAGTCTGCAGGCTGACGCTCTATCCACTGAGCCAAATTGGTCTTGGCTAAACTTTTCACCTTTTAAGGTCAATTGCAAAAGATATACAATACAACCAAAAGTGTGATTCATGAAAAAAAAAAAGTTGATAAGTTGGGGGATATATAAATTTTGCTTATTAAAGATGAGAGACACTGTTAAGAGGATGACAAGGCAAGTCAGGGAGAAAATCTTTGCAAAACACATATCTCATAAAGGACTGGTATCCAAAATATTCAAAGAATTCTTAAAACTAAACAGCAAGAAAACAAACAATCCAATTAAAAAGTGTTAGAAGATGTGAACAGATACCTCACTAGAGAAGATATGCAGATGGCAAATAGGCGTATGAAAAGATGCTCCACATCATCTGTCATCAGGGAATTTCAAGCTAAAACAACAATGAGATACTATTACATATCTATTAGAATGACTCAAGTCTAAAACTTTGACACCACCATATGCTGTGAGGATGTGGAGCAACAGGAACTCTCATTCATTGCGGGTGGGAATGCAAAATAACATAGCCATTTTGGATGAAAGACAGTCTGGAAGTTTCTTACAAAGCTAGGCATAGTCTTACCATATGGTTCTGTGTTCATGCCCAAATGGGTTGAAAACATGTCTACACAAAAACCTGCACACGAATATTAATAGCAGTTTTATTCATTTCTGCCAAAACTTGGAAGCAAGAAGACGATCTTCAGTAGGTGAATGGATAAACTGTGGTACATCCAGACAACGGACTATTATTCAGTGATTTCAAAAAGTGACATGGAGTGATCTTAAATGCATATTGCTAAGTGTAAAAAGCCAATCTAAAAGGACTGCATACTTCAGCTATATGATTTTTGGAAGAAGGGGGTTTAATAGGTGGAGCATAGGATTTTTTAGGGCTATGAAACCGTTCTGTATGATTCAATAATGGTGGATACATGTCCTTAAGCGTTTGTCAAAACTGTAGAATGTGCAGCATAAAGCATGAACCCCAAGTAAACTATGGACTTTAGTTAATATTGAATTAACATTTGCTCGTTAATAATAACAAATGGACCACACTAATGCAAGATATTAATAAGGAAAGTGTTTGTGTGGTGGGAGTATGGGAACATAGGATTCTCTCTACTTTCCACTCTTTTTTCCCTGTAAACCTGTTCTTTAAAAAAATGTTTGTTAGGAAAACAGTACTTGATTTAAAAAAATCATATACATGTACACAAATGCCTATACATATACATTCAGCATCCTGTATAAAGTACTCTTAATTTAACAGGTAGAGCACAGCTAATATTTATCTAAGGTGTTTTTCAACTGTTTCTGATGTATAAATAAAATATTTTATTTGATATTTGAGGGTTTTCTTCTCCCCTAAAGCCATTTATTGAGTGTACACTATTTGGCAGATACTTTTAGGTATTTTTAGGACCAATCTCATTTAGTTTGAAGTAGATACTATTCACCTCATTGCACAGGTGAGAAAGCTCTGGCTCAAAGAAGTGGAATGGCCAAGCTGGTATAGGCATACCTCAGGTATTGCGGATTCAATTCCAAACCATTGCAGTAAAGTGAGTATCACAGAAAAGTGAGTTACAATCTCTCTGCTGGTGGAGGATCTTCAGTTTTTAAAATGGCAACATCTGCGAAGAGAAATAAAGCCAAGTGCAGTAAAATGAGGTATGCCTGTACTTGAATCTAGGGATGCCTGACGCCAAAGCCTGTGTGTATGTGCAGCTATATGGCCTTTGTAATTAATAGCAATATTTTTTGAAATAGCTAATGTTTATCCTCTAACAAATGTGTCTTCAGAGCCAAATTATTATTGAAAGGGATTGTCTAGGTTTGATCCTTGGTTCTATTTGTGATTTTAATTAGATTATATGACCTCTATGCTCTAGTTTCCTTGATATTAGAGACAGTTGTTGAGATTGTTGTAAGGCTTAATGAGGTAATGTGTGAAAAACTCTTAGAACAGTGCCTGGTACAGAATATGAGTTCCATAATTGTTAGCTGTCAGTAGTGGAATAAATAGAGGAAACTGAGACCCAAGTAAATTAAGTGGTTTTCTGAGTCATATAATTTTCCAAGGTCACAATAGCTATTAAATGGCAAAGTTTATTTTTTTATCTGAAGGCGATAATTTTATCCATTTAAAAAAAGAGAAACTCTTTACTGGGGTGGTGGGGTGAGAGGAGCTGGGGTGGGGGGCTATCAATTGGGGGAAAAAGAGACATATGTAATACTTGAAACAATAGAAAAAAAATTTAAAATATGTTGTAGTTTTTCCCATCTGCTTAGTCTACTGTATATAATTTAACTTTTTATCAGATTGATATGGTAGGGGAAAAGCATTGGGCTTTATTTATGTGCTGAACCAAGCCTTATTCCTGATTGGTCATGTGACCTTAATGTTTCTGATTGTAGTTCATTTGTAAACTGAGGGTAGGTGGAATTGGGCCAGATGATTTCTTAGTTCCTTTAACAGCACCCACAAAATATGATTGAGATGCAATGCTTTATCATGCATTATTCTGTATAACACCCTGCAGTTCCCAGAACTTCTTGATGCCATATATAGGGTGGTTCATCTCTGTGCTAAATGCCTGAGGAGTGCTGTACTTTTATATTGGCCATCCACAGCCTAACTCAGCATTTTCTTAGCATTCTTCCTGCTTTTTCTACTTTCAGTCTACTTTCTTAATATGGTTAATTGATTTATTGCCTTTACCTTTTTACAGAGTGCAGCTTGTGTGGATTGTTTTCAGTTCTCAACTGAGCACACAGCATTCTTTTTTGGCTGTTGGATTCACAGCTAATATTGAATCCTCTAGCATGGAATAGGGTGGGGAAAGGGAAATGCCAAAGATTCTAAATTGTGTAATACAATCTTTCTGCAGAAGGTATGATTTTAGTGACAAAAGAATCTTTGAGATCCATAGGATCAAGTTTTAGTTTCTTTGTTGTGTAAAAGGACCCTGTGAGTTGCAGCAAGTTTCCACTTTACCTTAAAGTGATATGTATACATAATCAAAGTAAGTTCCATTTGTTCACTTATATAACCTTTTTGTTTGTTTTAGTTAAGCCTCACTAGCTTATTCTGGTGGGTTTTGTAAACCAGAGTCAGGGAAGTTGGTTACAGGTTATGAATAGTTTTGCATGTAGATCACAGGTGAGTATCATCTATAATATTGAAAGTGTAAAATGCTGATTAGATCAGACATCCTTCTGGACAATCTTCTGGACAAAGCTAGGGCTGTGAGGGGAGCCCGAGTCCAGAGGGAAGCCGGTGACACAGCCGGAGGAAAGAAGGCCTACTCTTGCACAAATTTTGTGTATCGGACCTCTAGTTTGATTATAATCATGCACGAAATTTGTGTATGGGGTTGGGGGTGTCCCTCAACCCGGCCTGCACCCTCTCCAATCTGGGACCCCTTTAGGGGATGTGCAACTGCTGGATTAGGCCTAAATCGGCAGTTGGACATCCCTTTCACAATTCAGGACCACTGGCTCCTAACCGCTCACCTAACTGCCTGCCTGATTGCCTGATCGTCCCTAACTACTCTGCCTGCCGGTCTGCTCGCCCCCCAGCTACCCCAACCCCTTGCTGGCCTGCTCACTCCCAACTGTCTTCCTCCCCCACCAGCCTGATTCCCCTCCAACAACCCTCCCTTGCCAGCCTGATCGCCTCTGTCTCTGCTTCAGCCCCACCACCATGGCTTTGTCCGGAAGGATGCCTGGAAGATCTCCCAGTCTAATTAGCATATTACCATTTTATTAGTATAGATAAGCATTTCATCAGTGCTCAGAAGAGTTAATTTTTACCCTATCTGGAATAAAATCTCCTAAAGGTGAAACAAAGGGATGATGAGGCCTCTGGGCAGAAATATACAGTGGGATTCCTAGCTAGAGTCATCCATGGGTAATGAAGACAGGATTTAGTGGATATTCAGAAATCTCATATATCAGTGCATAAAAGGTTGAAGGGGAAGTAGGATCTCTCAGGAGTTAGAGGAACAGAGCGCCCCCCACAAAAAAAAAAAAAAAATTGAATTTTTGGCCTAAAAACCATTAAAGGAAAAACATATGCTGTCTGTCTCGTGGTTGTATCGAATTGAAAAGGCTTATGGTTACAATTGGTGGTGGTATATTTTCAGGTGTCTTATCTACTTTTTGGATAGGTCTGATTAATGCATTTCCAATAGAAAAATCTCAAAGTTAATTGCTCCATTGTTGCTAACAATAGTACTACCGTATTACTTTTTTTTAGTTGGTGATACTGTGTTTGTTAATATCTTTATCTCATTGAGAGCAAGTCAGCTAGCTGCCAAGCCATTATGTCTACCAGGAAGGAGGGGGTTGCTTTTCTGGCCATATAACTTAGACTCCCTCTTTCATGGGCCCAGGCCTTCAAAGGCTGTTTTAGCTTTTTGTTTGCAATGAAGTAGTTTCTGTTGTAAAGATTGTTTCTTTTTTGTCGATAACATGCCTATAGGCTCCACACTTAAATATGAAACTGATAGTAAATAAGCATTTTTGAAAAGTTGGTTTTATTTTCTCTTGCAGGTGTAATTCAGAAAGCAGTCTTCAAACCTGTGCCGTATTGACTCTGAGTTGTCAGGGGACTCAGGCTTATGAGGAGGTACTGTCACATAAAACAGTGTCTGGTGAAGACAACAAGAAAGAGGGGAAAGGATCGGAAAAAGAAGCTAAAACACTGTAGAAAACCATGGTAGGTTATTTATGTTTCTTAAATAAGTTATAAAAGATTCCAATAGTTTAGAATTGGAAGTGTTAACAGGAAGGCAAGTGAAAAACAATGGTGTTAATTTTTGGCTCTAGTGCCCAGATAAAGAAGGCACTCTACCATTTAGGCAAAGAAATGAGTTCAGATTTATTATGAACCCTTTAAACCACAAGATGGAGCCCCATGAGCCTACAGACTATAAATTATTAAGTACAAAGGAGGGAATGTTCATAAATAATATTTTCTAATAAAACTGGCATTAGCAAACATACAAATAGCTAATGTGACCTTGAACTTGAAGTTGTGTAATTTTCTTTGAATTCAGTTGTTTTTCCCCATGGAAATAAAAATTTGAATGTGTATAAGATGTGTATTTAACTCAAAAAAGCCGACTTTTCCCACATGCTTTTAAAATAATAAGGTCAACTATTAAATGTATTGGGGATACTAAACTGAATATCAAGGAAATCTTGTTTTGAATTTGAGATGTTAGATAAGGTCATAACCTCTGATGCCCAGTTTTTTAATTGGTAAAATGTGCTGGGTTATTTCCACCTAGTATTTTGTTTCAGGAGGAGGTGTGAATTTTTTCCCTTTAGTGTCTGAGAAAAGGTTTAAAAATGTTAAGTGGGGGAAAAAACGCAAAAATACTAATCATCAGTATGTTTGAAATACGTTGTTTAGTAAATCTGATAGTGTTTCTTTAAGTGTTTGATTTTTTAAAAAGTTGTAGGAATTATAACTTAGTTGAATTGCTCTTTAGAGAAGAAATTCTAATATTTTAGTTGTGGATAATTGGGGAAAATGTTGACTTGGGATTTTCTCTAGTTTTATGGTGAGATGTAAAAAGTGACACTGACTTGTGTTTTTTCCCATGTGACTTATTCAACACTTCAGCTCATCTATTATGGTCTTGATATTCTTAACAGTTTAAAGAAATGCTTTATATATATTATTGGTCCTAGTTTATGAAAAACTTTTTTCTAGTTTATTTTAAATTTAGCTTAGATTTTCTGGTGTAGAAATTTTGTGTTTTTATATAATTTAATTGGTTGGTAGGTTTTTAGTTTCTTCTGTTGTTATATCTCAAATTTGAATAAGAACTTTCTATTTCTGCATAGATCTTTCAATTTAATTTTTAATACTTTAAAAATCTATTTGGAGTTTATTTGTGTAAATAAGATCACTTTCCAATTTTTTTTTCCATATTGTTTATTTAACTCACCATTATTTTATGATGTTTGTCCTATTACGTTCTGTTGGCTCTTGGTCTTAACATGGGCAGTTTATGTTATTTTTGAGAGACAACCAAGGATTTGTGTTACATAGCAATCTAATTTTACTATGGTGAGGCCAGTGTGTAGGACTCAGATATCTAAATAATTTAGTAAATCACCATAAAACTAAATGAAGGAGAAAATCCAGAGTTAGCATTTTTTTCCTATCATCCAGAACAAAAATATTTTAATAGAATTTCTTCTCTAAAGAGCAACTCAACTACATTATAATCCCTAGAACAAACTAGCATTTTCTAATTCGTTATATGACTTTTTTATTTCCTTGTTACTTAATTTGGGATATATGAGTAAATCTCATGAATTGACTAAAAAGTTGCAAAAGAAACTCTTAGTTGGAGACTGATTGTGGACTTTAAGAAAGACATCTAAATAGACATGATTTTTTTTTTAAATCTAGAACGAAGAAAGCTTCTGTGATTGCTTTTAATCCTTTTTTTTTAATTTTAACAACAGGGTTTCAAAGATTAATTTGTGTAAAAAGATTTTTAAAAAAATATTGATATAAAAACAAAGAAAACTGATAAAATTGTGAATCTTTTATTTTGAGGTAAAGACTTTAAAGCAAATATTTACCACCTATTAGTGCATAATTTCATGTAAGTAAAGACACTGTAGCCATCCTTAAAAAAAAAAATAGAATACTTTTGGCTTTATGAAAACTCAGCAAGTTATCCTGGTTCGTTTTGCTTTGCATTAGTACAAGTGTCTTCATGGTATTTGCAAATTTGGAAATATTCAAAGGTTTTTGATGTGTGACTTTTGAATGTGAAGGATCTACTGTATTATATTTTCATGAAATTCATCCTATTTCTAGGCTTTTATCTGTATTACTGACTTTTGGACCAGCCATTTTAATTATTGCTTTTTAAATTTTTGATATTTTATTTTAGCTCAGTGGCACCACCCATCCATTGTTGTAGAATATTTCTTACTTTCATGGATTTTTTTTTTCCTCCTCAAAAGAGCTATAAAATTATGTTCAGTATTAATACCCTATCCTTAGGGTATTTTGACTGAGAAAACTACTTTGCCCCACCCTGTATGTATTTTTCTTGTTCTGGAATTTGGAATGTCCCATGCCAATCTTTTTTAAGGATTAAAGCCTTGCACTAAAGTTTTAAATGAGAAACAGTAAATAGTATTCTAATGTGTCTTTAGTTTATATATAATGGTGTATTTTGTATTACTACTGTATTATAAAATCTCAATTTTTCAAGGTGCAGAAATCTCCAGCAGTTTGGAAAGGAGAGACTGGTTATCATGAGTCAACAACATGCATTTCCAGATACTCTCTTGAAGCTAGGAAGTGTATGTTTCTAGAAGATAATGTGTGATATGGGTCACTTTTTCTAAGGTGGTATTGAAACACAGATTCAGCTAAAAGCATATACATCATACCAAATATGATCTGGGTGAACCATACCAAACATGAATGAAAGATCTCTAATTTTTTGGTGTGTTCAATAGAATGGGGTTTTCCTTCTTATTCCTGAGCAATTTTTTACTTTCTTAGCATTAACTTAACGATATTTCACAGTGGTTTGACAAATAATACTATGACTTGACTTAAATATGTTTGTCATCCTTTTCACGTAACATTTTTTTTTAATTGAGCTAATTGTTTTCTTTCTCCTTCTGACAGAGATCTATTAGATCTTTTGCCAATGATGATCGCCATGTTATGGTGAAACATTCAACAATCTATCCATCTCCAGAGGAACTTGAAGCTGTTCAGAATATGGTGTCTACTGTTGAATGTGCTCTTAAACATGTCTCAGATTGGCTGGATGAAACAAACAAAGGCACAAAAATAGAGGGGGAGACAGAAGTGAAGAAGGATGAAGCCACAGACACCTATGCCAAGTGAGTGTGGCCTGACCTTTGTGGCACTTGACTGTAGTACCACAGTCAGAAAAGCCCAGGGTCTGATCCCACTGGGTTTGGCATATGGTGTCTTTTGTGTTTTCTTATTTATATGATAAGGAAGGAAGTATTTGTGGAATTTTTCTGAGTTAAATTTGAAAGGAAAGCAAGAAAGGAGGAGTGATTAGACCAGAAAAAGAGGGACCTAGGTGTACAGGATGTTTTTTGAGAGTGCACCAAGCCCTTTAAAATCTTATCTTTTTGGAGGTTATATGTCATCTTTTTTATGTTTTGATTCAGCCTCCTAAATTCAGTCATAAATAGTAGTGTTTTTGTTTCTGGGGAAATCATAAAATGTGATTTTTTTTGTCAGATATTTTAAAAATCTGGTATAGAAGAAAGATGCAGGAAAAATGTATTTAAAGATATTTATAACTGTATCTACCATGTTGATTCCCAGTGTTTTCCATATAGTAAATGCTCATTGGATATTTGTAAAATGCAAGGACTACCAGGACCCTGCCCTTCAACAATTGTTTTTTACATGGCATAAAAAATGTCATGATCTGACTCGTTATCATCAGCTTCATCTCACTAATCTTGAGATTAGTGAGATGAAGCTGATGATAACGAGTCAGATCATGACATTTTTTCATGTCATGTAAAAGCTTAGAATTATTGTTTTGAGCATTATTATGACTGAAATAAGTGAATGATTGACTTTGAAAAATGAAGCTAATTTAACTACTGTATTAACTAGGATTAAGAACATTACTTTGGCTAAAACTTGTAAATTGAGGATAGAGGTTATAGAATTTTTTCCAGCTTTAATTCTGAATCATTGTGATAGATAACAGTGTAAAAGTATTGATAAATTGAAAGGTAATGTAACCTTTTCGTTTTCAGATCAAAGATAATCACTATCATGATTCAGTTGAAAATAATTCCTTGACTTTGTTAACGATTTATGGGTAATATGTACATTGTATCTAGTTGTAATCTTGTCAGCTTCAAGGTTTTGGCAGCAATTCAGTTTTTCTCACAAAATGACTTTTAAAAAGTCACTCAAATTTGGGGTTCATGTTAATTTATAATAATAAAAGCATAATATGCTAATTAGAACAGCCATTCTTCTGGACGTCCTTCTGTCCTTCCAGACGAAGTCGGGGCTGCGAGGGAAGCCCAGGTCCCAGGTGCCAGAGGAAAACCCATGCCGGCAGCTGGGGGAAGGAAGGCCTACTCTTGCACAAATTTAGTGCATGGGGCCTCTAGTTAGTAATATTAGCTAACAATCTAATTCTGTATATCCCAGTCCCTGTTCAAGTTAGGAAAGCAACCAATCAATGAGACATGTGCTTCCTATTTGCATTGTACTTTGGAATGTGTTATGCCCTTTTAAACTTATTTAAAATTGCAGAATATATAATATAAAACTCACCATGTTTACCATTTTTAAGAGGTTTCCTTTTTTAGTGGAGTTCATGCCTTCTTAATACATCTTCAGTCTGTTCTCATGGCTGGGTAGGCTTTTAGAAAGTGCTCTAGTAAACTTTTGCTTAACTGGATCAGGTCGCTGTGTTTTAAAGCATGTGTGTTTAATGTTTTTATTGGTTTTAGAGAAGGAGGGAGAGAGATAGAGAGATAGAAACATAGATGAGAGACATCAGCTGCCTACAGGGGATTGAGCCCACAACCTGGCCATGTGCCTTAACCAGGACTTGAATAAGGAACCTCTTGGTTCATGGGTAGACGCTCAACCACTGAGCCACACCAGCTGGGCTGTTTTACAGGTTTTGAAAAGATAATGTGCTCCACACATTCATTTGGATTTTTTAAGTATAATTCCTTATGTTGATGCTCTTGATTGTAAAGTTTTTCCATTTTGTGGACTAGTCACAGGTTGAGCATTTGCTAGGTTTCTTTCCACATGGTAGAACCCCAGTTGTGCAGAATGATTGTGTCCTTATTTTGTATCAGTCAGAGGCAGACACATCTCCTAAGAGCAAAACTCTTGATAATAGATGTGTATTGTGCTCCTGTTATATGTTGAGTATCACTACACAGGGCATAAGATAGCTGATGGTTATTAAGAGCCTTCTCTTGTCAAGCAGTTTTTATTTTACCTTTTTACAAACTGACTCAAAAGTCAAATTGCACAAGATACCATTATTGGTATTATTAGGAATATTAGGATTCTGTTCGTAAGCAATTCCCTGCATTTGGGTTGCTTGCTTTATAATGCCTTCTATATTCAAATTCATTATCAACTTCAGGATTGAATTAGGAATTGGTTTTTCTTTTCACTCATGCTGTCTTCTACATGAGAGGACCAACTATATCATAATTATGATATAGAATTTAATAAGTGAGCTAATAATGGCTAGTTAATAATAGCTACCATTATATTACATGACAGTTACTTTCCACATTGTTGTAAATTTACTAGTCTCTGTTATTATTACCCTCCTCCTCCGCCACCATTTCATTTATGATATTTTCACTGTTTCATATTTGCTTACTAAAAACAAATGACTCAGAATTGTTAACAAACTTTAACTTGCTTAAAGTCACTGAATGAGTGCGTGTGGTGTTGCCAGGATTCATATTTAAGTCTATTGAACTCCAGATCCAGTATTCTTAGCATCTTTGCCTCTATTCCTGTGACAAATGTGAAAGTACAGAGCAGAGAGAGATTATGTGCTGGTTCTGGGGATTAGAAAAAAACTTTGTGAAGGAAGTAGCATGCAGTAGGTTTAGAAGATGGGTGGGAATTTGACACAGGTAGTGAAAGTGGAAGAAAAAATAAATCTCAGCAAAGATTTAGGTATGAGGGCCTGGTAGGTGTGACTACTCAGTGGTTGAACGTTGATCTATGAACCAGGAGGTCACAGCTCAAATTCTGGTGAGGGCACATGCCCGGTTGCAAGCTCAATCCCTAGTAGGGGATGTGCAGGAAGCATTCAATCAATGATCCTCTCACATCATTGCTGTTTTTTTAATCTCTCTCCCCATCTTCCTCTCTGAAATCAGTAAAAATATGTTTTAAAATAAAGATCTAGATATGAGAAAATATGGATATCCAGGAAACCGAGTAATGATTAAGTTTTAGTCAGGAAATAGTTTTTAAAAGTAATCATTCAGACTTTTATTTTTAGGGATCAAGGTGGTCGGACATTGTGTGGTGTAATGAGAATTGGCCTGGTTGCAAAAGGCTTGCTGATTAAAGATGACATGGACTTGGAGCTGGTTTTAATGTGCAAAGACAAACCCACAGAGACCCTGTTAAATACAGTCAAAGATAATCTTCCTATTCAGATTCAGGTGAGTACAGTATAATTGCACCTCTAGGATAATTTGTAAAAAGGTGAAAATAGGTAGTGACCTTGAATTCAATAACAAGAAATCGGTAATAGCAAAGGGTACAGACAAAAGGAATGCTGCTTCTCTGGATCAATGATTCATCCATCACATATAAAGCAAATATCTGGTGATTAGTACTCTAGATATATTTATCAAGTTAAGATGGCTATTAAGGTACAATCTTAAAATTTTCAGGTATGTCTTGTTTTGAGAGTCTTCCTTTTTTACAGACCAGGTCTCTAAGCATTGTGAAACTCTTGGAAGGGTTGGCATATTGCAGAAAAGAATTGAAAGATAAAAAAGAGCCTAGGCAACTGGAGACTTGCTTAGATTGTAATTTTTAATACTGAAGACTCAGTTAATTTAACAGTCACACACTCATTCTTTTAATGCAAAGTCACTGTTAATTTCGTTTCCAAACCAAAAACTCAATAATGGGTTTCTGGCTGACTATACTTTTTTGTCATTAGAATCTTAATAAAATTCCTCTTGTTTCTATTATTTTTTATGTTGCTTTAAAATTTAATCAATATTTCTGTTTTTAGTATAGTGAACATTGTACACTAAAATCTATAATAAAGTAATAATCAAATTGATGGGTATATTAAAGTTTTTTCAACCATTTCACCCCCCTTTCTGTTTCCTTTAGCGAGTCCGGTTTGTTATGAGAGTGGTCATATTCCTCATGTGTTAGGGTGGAAAATGGTTTGAGAAACCAGTGCTGTAATAAATCAGAGCTCTTATTCTGAAAGTCTATCACATTTTTCTGGTATTGAAGATATAGGAGATTGGGCCAAGCTTCAGTTTGCATTAATAGAGCTTTCTCTGTGTAGACCACAACTGTGTGAACAGCATTTTCCCCCTTTCCTGGTGTGTGTGTGTGTGTGTGTGTGTGTGTGTGTGTGTGTGTGTGTCTGTGTCTGCTGGGCACCACAGTTTTAAAATAATTTTGAGCTAGCAAGTGTTCAAGGGAGGGATGCAGGAGAGAGGGCATGCTGTGTAAACCAATTCAGATTTAAAGGGATTGGGGATTTTTAGTCAAGAGAAGACTAAAGACTCAAAAAGCTTTAGGTCTTTGAAGGGCTTCTTGGAGAAGGTTAAAAGAGGCCTGACCTATGAAGACCAATAATGAAAATTATGAGAAACATTTTAATTTAAAATAGCCAATGAAATTATCCAAAGCTGTGAAACCAGCTGCTTTCTGTGATGGTTAGATCCATTACTATAGGTTGTGGATAAATGTACCCAAATAAAATGGGGATGTAATGTACATCCATCTCAATAGATTGTATAGATTTTCACACACACATGCCGAAATATATACATATAAGTTACACATTACTATTACTATTACTAATAAAGTTTCAGAAAATCATGCTAAAGATGATTAATATTTGTACTCCCTGCTTCCCCCTTGTTTTTTATGTATTTGTGTTGAAAACCAATTTCTTATAATTTTATTTTTTTTATGAGTTTAAAAATCTTTCTTTTTTGAGCATTTACCATAGTAAAACTTCCAGTTGGCTAAATATCTTAATTAACTGAGGATGTATTATACCTTTTCTCTCCATATTTTTTTCCTAGGGTAATTTTAGAACTTTCATGAGCAAGAAGGGAGGAGAAGAATGACCCAAACCAGAAATCACTTATAATTAGTCTAATGCAGGGGTAGGGAATCTTTGTTCTTCCAAGGACCATTGGATATTTATAACATCATCCATAGGCCATAGAAAATTATCAGCTTAAAAATTAGCCTGCTATATTTGGTCAAACATTTAATTAACTCACCCCCAACACCTTGGCAGGGCCAGGCCAAATGATTTCTCAGGCCTTGCACGGCCCTCGGACTGGACATTCTCCACCCCTGGTATAGTCCAAAAGTTAACACCATATGTTTATTACTTTGGATGTGTCTTATGGTGATATGCATGAATAATTGAAAAATTTAGTTTGCCTCATTCTCTGATAGATATCTTTAATGTTCTTATAATGGCAAAATGAATATGAGCAGTTTTCTACTTTTTCTTTATATTCTAGTTCTTTTTCCCCCAGTTACTCTGTGGCCTTTTTTCTTCCTTGGTTTCCTCTATTCAAAAGTAGATAATGAATTTTCTATTTTCTATCTTTTTTGAAATGCTTAATGATAAAACACTATTTTTATGTAAATAACTCTGAGTTCTTTTAATGTGCAGTGATACTCAGAAACCCAGTAGTGTTTTTATTCACCTATTTGTCAGATAATAGATACTAAATTTCACCTCCAAGAAAGGCCCTGTGTAATTAAAAATATATCTATATATATGTAGTATAATAATAAAATACAACTTAGGTTATTCTAATTGGTGATTATTTTGTAGAAGGTTCTTAAATTGCATGTAGTTGTATATTAAAAGAAGCAGTGCACATATATTTTCCTGTGGGTATGTCAGATAACTTGTCCCATAGTGATGGGTCTCACTGGAATGATCTCTGAGACGTATAGTTAGAGAAGGGAAGTTGTTTATACTTTTTTTTTTCTCTTTTTAAAAAAATATATTTTATTGATTTTATACAGAGAGGAAGAGAGAGGGATAGAGAGTCAGAAACATCGATGAGAGAGAATCATCGATTAGCTGCCTCCTTCACACCCCCCACTGGGGATGTGCCTGCAACCAAGGTACATGCCCTGACCTTGTCAGTCCCCAAGTCAGCACTCTTTTTTGCTACTAGATTCTTTCCTGTTTATTCTTACTTGATTCTCTTTAGAAATCTATATAATCTTATATAAAAGTCTACATAATCTTAAATTTGTAAGTCCTTGATAAGTAGGAGTTTCTTTTTAGGCTGTCCTATCAAAAAAAAGTATTGGTTTAAGATAGCATTCCCAGCGATTTATTTGTCGACAGTAGTTCTCTGTAATAATGTAAAAAAAAACCCACAGTAATTTACCCTTTATAGCATAATAACGCTGTTGCTATTTTACATTCAAATATTACTAAGAATGAATTAAAATACTGCTTATAATTGTGTAGAGAGTTGACATTGTGGTACTTTTTGAGGGATGGAGAAAGGATTTGCTGATAAGTTGGAAGGAGAGAGAAATGTTATTCCTAAGGAGCTAAAGACTTTATTCACTCTATTGGCACAGTATTAGTAGTAGTTAATTACACTTGAAAACTAAGGGGCAATCATTCATTTTTTGAAAATTTAATTAATTGGATGTTTTGAAATCTTGGTGACTTTCAGAAACTCACAGAAGAGAAGTATGAAGTGGAACAACGTGTAGATGAGGCATCTATTGTAATTCGGAATACAAAAGAGCCCACGCTAACTTTGAAGGTGATACTTACTTCCCCCCTAATTAGGGATGAATTGGAGAAAAAGGATGGAGGTACATACACATATATTTTTGTCTTGTTTTGTTCATAAAAGACCTATGTGTAGTGCTATGTTAACTGTGCTTTATAGATTTATGATATAACTGTCTTCATTTGTTTATGCCATTAATAGTATTTTAAATACTTTTGTTTCTACATAATTCACTATTTTGCAAAAATGTATATATTTGAAATATAAAATACGTTAATTGAGAAACTTGTGTTTTCATGTTGGTCATAGCTAATTTTATACTAATTTGGCATTATGGTATTGCATTATTATTGCTGTGATTCAATCTGTTTAGTAGAGTTTGGCTCCAGGATTAAATGTGGACCAAACAGTGTTTTCATATTTATTCAGTTGTTCACATTACTCGTTTGTACATTGCTCTTGACTTATATTAATTATATATAACCTTATAAGATTTATGCTTTACCTAATTGTCCATGGGTAAATATGTTTTACAATGTAAGATATGAATTACGGGATTAGATTTTTAAAATTAATAATCTTTAGTAAGTTTTTTTTTCTAGGAGGTTTGTGATCTGTTATTATTTTCATTTTGATGTATGTGGGAATCATGCCTTAAACTAACTTCCTTCTGAAGTTAAAAAAAATTCCTGTATGGCAGTGTCATCCTTGTAAAATTAGAGTGAGAAATCTATTTGGTTTTGAGAAGTAATAATGGAGCCGAATTTCTTTTTCTGATGTTTTTATTTTGTCAAGTTAGCTCGTTTCTGCCTCTCAGTTCTGTCCCTACAAACTTGTCCTGTGATATTTTTCCTGTGTCAGACCTTTGACCAACTACCCTCTCTCTGTCATGACAATTTAGAGATAGTCCAGCCTGCCTGGGCCAATGGAGACTTTCTATTGCTCCTTTTCATCACTAGACATTTAACAACTCCCATTGCTTACTCCCCTACCTGAAATGCCAGTGCAGTAAGAAATATTGGTCAGTTTCTTAAGTTGATGATAAAGATAGACAAAGACATTTACTAGTTCTGTTAGAACTTTTTTTTTTTTTTTTTTTTTTTTTTTTTTTTTTGAGTTTTGGCAGATATGTGATAGACTCCTTTTAAAAAGCTTTTGGGGTAACTAAAATCAGCTATACTAAACCCAACAATATAAACTAGATGCATTTATGAGTTATAGTTTAAATTTAAAGTGCATCCAATCTATAATTGGGTTTATGCATGTACTGTTTTTTTGCTGTATATAGTGTCTCTAACACCTCTGAAGAACCAATCTTAAATGGCTTAATTTCTTTAACAGCTTTTCAGTTCACCATTAACTGTAGAACTATAAAATGATTTCTGAAGTATCAAGATAATTCTGTTAATTCTGGTAAGCTGTGTTCTACTTGACACCCCTAGTGTAAAACTAACCATTTTTAAGTAGAATTATAATTATAGGTATTCTTAAAAATTATTTGAGTATAGAGAGATGAGAACAAGACTGAAGTTGCCAAAGACTATATTAATTATATGTTTGCTTGTAGCTGTAGGCGTCCCTTCTATTACTTCTTTGAAAATATTAAGACAACAACGTCAGACTTCTTTTTGCCCATGGTTTTGTGTACTTACATAGGGTTTTGTCATAGTTTTCAGTGATGCCCTTAAGCTTAGTCTATTGCTTTTAATATTTTAATTTCTGTTTGGGGAAACTGAAAACAGATTCTTAGTGTATTGCATCCTCACTAGAAGACTAGTTATAGGATAGAACTTGTGATAAAGTAGGAGAGTCAGTGTTTAAGATTTTTGGGTTACTAAAGGATCCCAATACCTTTTAAGGGCTGACTTTCATTAGTTGGTGTTAACATAGTTGGTGTGGGATCAGGGAAGGTGAAAGAATCAGCTTGGCTCCAATGTTTTATACATGTTACTTCCTCTTCTTTTGAATAGCAGGAAGATTTGCTTTGCTGCTGTTCTCAATTCCAGCCTTTTTGACTCACTGATCTCTTCCAGTTTGCTCATTTTGTCTAACCTGGGTTTTGTCAAAGACAGTTTTGTTTTTTTTCATGTGTGCTAGAAATTTTGTATATTCCTGGGAAAATTTGGGGATCCAGCAAAACTGAATATTTGAGACCTTGGCTGTACAGTTCTGTAGGACTTGATTTCTTATACTAGACAGCTCCTCCCTCCAGCTGTAGGAGGTGAAAGTACAAGATTATTAGGGTTCCAAAAATTTCTAAGACTGATAAAATTCCCTTTAAAAATGATCTCCACTCGTTTTCTTTTCTCAAAGTTAAAAAAGTACATGTAACATATTTCAAAGAGTGTTTTTCTGTAGAATCTCAACTTCTCCCCTTCCCACAAAACAGACTATTTATATATAAAATCTAAAAAAGGGGATAAAGTGTGGTTGAGAGCAGAGAGAACTGGAGGACTGGTACAGATGAGGGAATCACACTTGACCTCCTTAGGTCCATTTCTTTACCTATTTCAGATCACTACTTACTTTTCCATATTCTAACCCTTTACTTGAAGGACGTGTAGAATAATCCTTCCCCTTTACTACATGCTTCCTGCTAAAAAGCACAGACCTTAGTGGCAATCAGTTGTTCAATTCTTAAGACCATTAGTTACTATTTCTGTGTAACCTTGGGCAGATATCATTAAAAAATGTGTATAATAAATACTTTAGGATGTTGTTTGAGGTTAAATGAAAGAGTCTATGTAATGTGACCTATACAATACTCAGCACAAAGTAGTTGCTCAGTAACTAGTGGTAGCTTACGAAAAAGATTCATAACACAAGCTTACCTACTCAAACTGCCTTGAGCTCACAGTGATAATAATGTGTACATAATGGGTCTGAAAAACTGAACCTAAATCCCCATTAAAGTGCAGTATTGGAATCAGTAATTTGTACTTGCTACAGTGCTAATAATGGGCTTGCTTATTATACAGCTTATGGCTCGTTCATTGAGGGCAGGCATCTTTTTCTCTACTCCTATTCTGTCCCCATAGCACCTGGGATGGTACCTAATACATAGTAGGCAATTTAAGAAAATCTATCTGATGAATTTTTGTAATCAGCATATTGTTTGATTAAATAGGACTGTCTTGTATGTAAGAAGCATTAACATTGGGCATGTCAGAATTCAAGCTCTGGCAGGGTATAAAATAATTTACTATTTTATTAGCAGTTTATTCATATAACTCATTTTAATCCTCACAAAAGCCCTCTTGGGTAGATAATTGCCTTGTTTTATAATAAGAAAGTATCACATTGGACCCAGCTCTTATAAGTCCATTGTGCTGTCCACGCTCCCATTACTGTCAAGAATGAGTGTCGGAGCATCTTAGCTGATTTGGTTACTCCAAGTATCACAGTCTCAGCTTCTTTTGGTGTTTGTGAATTTAAACTAGCAATGTGTTTGCTATGAGGGCAATAAATCAGCTGTTTATTCCATTTGCAGTACAGTTTGAAACCAGGTGCACAGGGAAACTACAGAGAGTTGTGTGGCTTAGGTTAAGACAAACCCCGGTCCTCGGTATTGGGGAGATTTTCAGTAGCTCACAGCGAGGTTACCCAAGAGTCCCTTTTCACATATTAGCACCAGTATAAACTTCTGGTGCATCTTGACAAACGTTCACTGGCAAACGTCCTTCTAGGTGAAGGTATTATATAATATTCTCATATTCTCACAACTGGGATTATAATGATGCTTCAGGCTTTCTTTTCCTGCCTTTCCCAGTTGCTAGATCTAAAACCAGGCGCAAACCTTGAGCCATTATCTTTCCAGTGGCCAACTGTCTACTAAGGCATTGGAAAAAAAAAAAAAAAGTTATACCGAGGGACATTTCTACCGTAAATTAGGAAAACAGTCTCTCAGATCTCCCTTAGTCCTGCATTTACCTGTGTACATTATCGTGGCTTGATGTTTTGCATGGACAGCGGTTTGAAGCATAATGTCTACTCTCTACAGAGCCTCAAGGAATTGAGAGAAGGGGCTGCTACAATATTTTCATGCTAACTAAAAAATTCTGTCAACATGTACTCAGTAGCTCAGCTCCATCCATATTGTCAAGGAGGCCTTCATGATAACCCAGCTCAGTTATTTTACCTTTGAAGAGCCCAGGTTCCAGACATACAACTCCTGTTTACCAGTCATGTTCTGGCTTTTCTCTACCCAGTGTCCAGGCTAGTGTTTTTGTTAATGGGAAGAGAGTTAGCATGCATGTATGAATTGAGAGAAACTGACCAACATTTCCTGTAGTACAGTGTGTTTCTGGTCACTGATCTAACCTCTAACAAAATTAAGTTCGGCATATAGACTTTTTTTCCAGTGCTTCCATTGTTCAGAATGCTTGATGTAGCTTCATGCCCTGATGCCAGATTACTGAGCAATAAAATTTTACAAGCGGTTTTTTTGTGTTATTTATTTATTTATTTATTTATTTATTTATTTATTTATTTAATTTATGGTTTTGGGGGGCACTTTTGTCACTCTTCATGCCCATCCCCCATACTATCTTTTTTTTTTTTTTTTAGTTCCAATTCTATTTCTTAATTAATTTTACTTGTCAATATAGGAAAAAATGAAATGTTTCACAGTTGCATTGTTTCTAATTTAAAGACTCCAAGTTGCCTTTTATCAGAAAATCTTTGCTTCCCCACAAAATTGAAACACTTACATTGAAGATCATTAAAATATGTTAAACTTGAACTTCTGCTATTAGAAGTAGTGGTGTTTTTCCAGCAGCAATTCTATGATTGCTATATTAAGTAAATTATTTTTCTCAATGAATGAAAATATGTAAAACTATATGTTATTAATATATAAAGGAAATAGGAAAGCAGGGCTTACAGGTATAATACTATAGTACCATATGAATGAATTCACATGGTTTTAAAATAAGAAACTTTGAGGAAGGTAACATGAAATGAATTATGACATTTCCTCTACTGTGTCCCACCTCATGAATATTGAAACATTTTGGATCTTTTGACATTTTGACTATCAGAGCAGGAAGAAACATAGCCATTCTGATGGTGATGTGAATGGGAATCTGGTACAAGTCTTCTGTTCACTGCCTGCCCCTCCATCTTGTCTCAGTGGAAACTATTGTCTCCAAATGTTGACTGTCTGTAACAAGCTGATGCCTCTGGTGTTGTTGTTGTTTTTTTTTTTTTTTTTTTTTTTTAAATAAGAATTTGTGGTTATAATCTGACTTTGGAGATGAAATAATTTATCTTCATATTTTTTCGATTGTCCCCCTTTAAAAATATGTGTTGCAATGAGCATGAGATGTTATTTACAAGTTCTGACCATTGGACGAAAGTACCAGAAAGTTCAACAAGAGTTTTGGATTGCCTTGTCTTTTCCTATCCAAATTTCCTCTGCCTCCCTTCTCTTGCATTACCCCTCCCCCACTTTTCCCAACTCCTACTTGGTAAGATGATAGAATAAAACTAAGCTTGCCTCAACCTTAGAGATTGAGATTTAAAAAAATAAGTACAGCTCATACCTTCTTTGGGAATTACATTACTTAGCAGTCAGTCAACCTTTGTCATGTCTAACTTTAAAGAGATTCTAATCATTCATTTATAGTAGTTTGTTTGATTTGATATGTGAGCTTTATGCAGATGCTTGCATTGACCACAGTTAAATATTTCGACATAACATTAAAATGAGGTAGTTGTATGTTTGTGTCATTACAATGACAAAATTGAGCAAGCCCAGGAACTAGATCACCTATGAAGTGAAAGTCCATAGTATATTTTTTTTATGGTTATCAATGAATCCACATTTATACTTTTTGAGGCAGCCCAATTTTTGAATAAAAAGGGGTAGTGAAATGAGGCCCTGGGTTGTGAATTTGTTGGCAGAGGTTAATGTGAATCAATGCAAATATCTGGTGTAGAGCTCACCGGGTCAGAAAATAAGTGTGTAGCACTTCAACCTTTAGAATGCTGCAGCCCGTAGAATAGCTGTGGCCAACCTTTCGGACCTCACAGTGGACCGCAGACCACACAGTTGGTGACTGCTGTTACAGAAAACCCCAATTTTTCCTCTAAAAGATTTGTTTCTGCTGGGCATTATGCCTTCAGTTTCAGTTAATGGCAAACTACCAATTAAAATATATCTCATAATGGAATCCTGTAAATGAGGAAACCAAAAATTATCAGTTACCTGCCTCTTATTTTAAAATATTGACTTTGAATCAATTGGCCCACACAGCATACTACCAATTCTGATTATTATGATAATGCTAGGAAAAAGTGAACTTTGCTATATCTAAAAGTTCTTAAAGGAGAAGGGTGAATCTGACTTCATTGGGCTAAGCAAAATTTCTCCCCAAGAAACATTTGTAGTTTTTGTAGCATTTAAATAATGCACCAAGTCTTCAAAAAGTTGAAAAACCCACTCTGTAACACTTTAGAGGGAATACATTTGGCTTTAAACTTGGATTTAGTATCATGTGACATTTTCTCAAATATGGATATTTTTCATTAATCACATGTTTGAATTCTTAATTTTGCTGCTTTGGGCTCTCTAATCCAACTTTAAAATGTTAAGGCAAGTCTAATAGCTGTAATTAGATAGTATTCTTTGCTGCCTTTAAAAAATTTATGTAATTTAAAATTGAAATGTATTTCCATGTTTTTCATTTTTGTAGTTTTGATAATTTTGGCTTAGAAAAGAAATAGTGAGGGAACTCCAATGTGACACTTGAACAGTTTTCATTAATGGGGTAAAGTTTCTATTAATGGTTATCTTGTTGGATAAGTTTATTTAGTTGTAAAAAATAAAATTGCTATATGCAGTGTATTTGTATAATAATATATCTCTTACTGATTATATAAAAGAGCCCCAGTTTTTCCTTAAGAATTGATTAGTGATTAAGATTCCTTCTATAAAAAATAGTTATAACTGTTATTAGTCCCAGATTTGCACTCTTGCACCCAGCCAAAGGAACAAGTGCTATGTACCTATTTTGTGCCCTTTGATGTTATGTGTGCTTAATAAGATCCCAGATTGTACGTAGCGGTGATTATTCATTTGTTTACTGACCAAATGCCTTTGTGCTCCTGTTTACTTGTGCACAGACTGGCTCTGATGGCTTTTTACTTAAGTAATTATAGTGCATGTAACTTTCAAAAAACAACAAATAAACCAAATCATGAAATCCTCTGGGAGTCTTATTAGTTAACTCAAATGCTGCTCTTTTAAAAAAAATTATTGTTTGGTAATTTGACAGGAACTCCTTGGTCAAATTGTATATGTTTCTCTCTATCCCATTTTTCCATTAGAAAAGGTTGCGATGAAAGATCCTCCAGACTTATTGGACAGGCAGAAATGCCTGAACGCCTTGGCGTCTCTTCGACATGCCAAATGGTTTCAGGTTGGCGCTCTGTTTTTATCTTACTGTTGTTGTAGCCTTGTATAGGTTTCATACTTGCCACTTACTGATTTCTGTGTAAATTTTAAAGCGGGGTACCTTCTAGGGTCATTATAAGAATAAATGAGTTAACTTAGGTAAAATACCTAGTGTGGCTTCTATTATATAGTTGATGTTTAATTATAATACGGTATAACCCTTTTTAGCTTAGCACTCTAAATTTTAAATGGTGGCTTATAAAATACAAACTTGGGTGAGAAAAGCTAAAATAGTGGCCTGGAATGGTGTCATGAGGCTATAAAAGCAATTTTAATAGTATATTTCCATTACTTTAAAAGCTGCCTTCTGAATTATAATTTTATTTTATTTTTAAATTTTGTTTGACAACTGATGATAATTGACTAATTAGTATTCACTTTAAAGAGCCTATCCATGATCAGTGTGCTTAAATGAAGACTGGATTTCAACAAGGATATTGGAATCATTTTGTTTGTTTTAGGCAAGGGCAAATGGATTAAAATCATGTGTCATTGTCCTTCGCATTCTGCGTGATTTGTGCAACAGAGTCCCCACATGGGCACCATTAAAAGGATGGGTAAGTACTTAAACACAGTTAAAAGCAAATTCTGAAGTAAAGTCAGACGAAATCTTGTAGAAATTACATATTACTATGAAATAGCTGTATTCTGAGTTAGCTAAGGTATGCATTACTTATTTTTGTTTTGGAAAAAAATTACGCACCTTTCGTATGAATTCTTTTTTACCTATGCAACATGTCTCTTTTACCTTATCATAATTCATGTTACAGAGCCTGAGATTTTTTTTCTCTGACAAAAAGCTTCTATACTTGTTAGAAGTGAATGTCTTTCTGTACTTTCCTCTGCAGTATTCACTACTGCCCATGAAAGCTCCTTGACTGGTACATTGCTCTTTCAGTGCTGCTTCCTTTTTTTTTTCTTTTTTCTTTTTTTAATATATATATATATATATATATATATATATATATTTTTTTTTTTTTTTTTTTTTTTGGTATTGATTTCAGAGAGGAAGAGAGAGAGAGAGAGAGAGAGAGAGAGAGAGAGAGAGAGAGAGAGAGAAACGTCAGTTTCTCAATGATTCGTGAGAATCAGTGAGAGAGGGAGAGAGAGAAACGTCAGTTTCTCAATGATTCATGAGAATCATTGATGGGTTACTTTCTGCAGCTCCCTACAGGGATTGAACCTGCAACCCAGGCATGTGCCCTGACCAGGAATCAAATTGTGACCTCATGGTGCATGGGTCGACACTCAATCACTGAGCAACACTGGCCATGTTAAAGGGTCATTTTAAATTAGTCTAGCAATTATAACTTTCATATAGTATCAATTTTTAATTTATTGAATATAGAGATTTGGTCCTTCATTTATTCTAATTGTAGTACTTGAGGCAGGCTGTCTGAAAAAGAAGTCTTATTGTTTAAGTGTTTCCTAGGTTATGTGGGAGATAGGTGGGTTGGGTTTGAATATTGATTAGTTATTAGCTATTACTAACTTATATGAAGGCTGGTTATATTTTTATGAAATCAGTTTAGTGACTACAATTTCTTAAGTGATCTTTTCAGGGCAACTAAAGTTTTATAAAAAAATTTATTATCTCAAAAATGGTTGATTTAAAAACACTAGCTGGGTTAAAGGTTAATAAACAAAGGGGAAAAGTTAATTGAGCCCTAAATCATAAATGGACTTTCATGGTTTTGGCCTTCATTGTAGATAGAAATGTCAGCTCACATTTAACTGGAATCCTTTTAACACTTGATGCATGTACTAATTTGTAATTTAATATCTTCTAGCCACTAGAGCTTATATGTGAAAAGTCTATAGGTACTTGTAATAGACCTTTGGGCGCTGGGGAGGCCTTGAGACGAGTAATGGAGTGTTTGGCATCTGGAATACTACTTCCTGGTAAGGGTTTCAAACTCTGGAGGCAGAAGAATCAGAAAAATCTCATTTTGGTTTATTTTTCTAAATCCTTATTAAATTTATCCTCTGCACAGGAAAGTGATGTGTAGGAGTTGTGCAAATAGGATACCTGTATGTTGAAAAATGGCTATAAAACTCTGTTTGAATAAATGTAATTTATGTTTTATATGTACTAACATAAATGGTACTAATAAGATATTGTGTCTGCTATAAATTTGCTTTACTTTGAGCTCTGAATTTGAAAATGTAGATGTTTGGTTAAAATGTATTAAGTTCACTCTGTTTGCACTCTGGTGTTTAATTCGGAAACATTAAATTTGGTTTTATTTTCTATATGTAATCCCTTTAAAGTTTTGGGCTGATTTATCATGCTGTGTCTAAATTCTCAGAATAAGACCAAATTTTGACCTGAGATATATGTGACTTCCAATAAAATGAGGACATTTAGGTGCTAACATATTGAAAATGAGAGTGTCCTTTACTCCATTTAATTAAGCAGATGTAGTTTCTCAGTCCCATCCCCCCCCCCCCCCCCCCCCCCAATTCTCTTTTTCTCTGTTAGTTTATTGAATTCCTAAACTCAGTTCTAAGTGGTATTGTGTCTTTCTTTTGCCTTTGCCGAAGGGGGTCCTGGTCTTCATGATCCTTGTGAGCGAGACCCAACAGATGCTCTGAACTATATGACCATCCAGCAAAAAGAAGATATTACCCATAGTGCCCAGGTAGAAGATGGGGCACATTACTGTGACCTATTAGAGGGATACTATCACTTTAGTTTCTGAGTTTTCTATTTAAACACTATTTTCTTGCCTACTGTTAAAGGGATTTTTCCATCATAACATTAGCGTTTAATGAATAGTCTTTTTTAGCTAGATGTCCTAAGGGCTTTATAAAAGGGCTTTTTAAATGGCTGTTGAAATTTGAATAAATATAATCTTTTGTTCTTCAGCATGCACTAAGACTGTCAGCCTTTGGCCAGATTTATAAAGTGCTGGAGATGGACCCCCTTCCGTCTAGTAAGCCTTTTCAAAAATACTCCTGGTCAGTTACCGATAAAGAAGGTGAGTGTGAAAGTTTTTTTTTATTGGTTTTGGGCATGGGCAGTGGTAGAGGTGATTATGGGGTGCATCTCTTGTTAGAAGGGAGGGAATTTAATAATTGTTAATTGTATATTAACTAGACTTATTGTGGTATCATTTCACAGTGTAGACAAATGTGGAATCATTATATTGTACACCTGAACCTAATATAATTTTGTCTGCCAAATTATGCGCTAATTTAAACAAATTGTTAATCCAAGTCATGGATGAGGATTTTTATTGCTTTTTTCCCCCTGACTTTCTGCTTTTCTGTCCCATCAATGACATCAGCTTGCTATTATTTACTCTTATTAGTGATTAACTCAGTTGACTATGTTGGCCAGATTTCATTACTGCATAAATGTAGGGACCATACTTTAAGAACCTCTGGTCTAAGAGAAGAGCTAGTCCATAAATGAGGAGATGTCATTGCTGTACTGGAACCGTTACATAACCAAAAAAGAGAAAACAAATATAAAGGAAAAGTATATTGAGAAATCCCAGAGTATCTTCCATTTGTTCTAGTCTGAGAATTCAGAGTTTGAACTCAGAGTTTCATCAGATTTTGGGGTCAGTATTGGCTGGGTTCCAGTCATAGTCCCACTATTTACTAGCTTTAGGTCTTGAGCAAAGAGCTTATTTTTGTCCTAGGGATGTTACCCCTGCTTTATTGGCTATGGATAGATTAAGATACCCAACTCAGTTCCTCAAATACAGCAGATTCAAATATGAATCTACTTACTCTCCTCGTTATGCCTCAAAAAATACTCCCTTCCCCTTTTATCTTCTGTTATACCAGAAGGTAGGATGTTTAGCACCAGTTATTCCTCTCCAGACGATCTATTTTCCTCAGTTTCCCACTCGGATGTCTAACAGCCATCTCAAACTTAAGATGTTTAAAATCCAAATTTCTGTCCTTAAGCTATCTTTGATCTGCTCTTTCCATAGTTATCACTATCCCAGTCATTGGAAACTCTATCCTTCTATTTGCTCAGGCAAAAAAACCTTTACCCTTGAATCCCCTCTTTCTTTCCTCCATATCCACATAATCAACAAATCCTATCTGTTATACATTCAAAGTATCTCCAGAATTCAGCGATTTCTTTAACTGTTTCACTGTTGCCATCCTGGCCTGAGCTGCCATCATCTCTCACCTGGGTTATGGTAGTAACTTCTCTATCTTGGTCTTTCTGCTTATGACGTTGCCCTGGTTGTCTGTTCTCAACAATCAATAATTCTTTTTTCCCTTAATTTTTTATCTTAAAATGCAGACTCATAGGAAGTTGCCTAGTTACCACAGAGAGTTTCCATGTACCCTTCAGTCAGTTTCTCCTACTAGTTACATCTTATATTCTAGTACTGTATAACATGCATGTCAAACTTGTGGCCGGTGGGCTGCATGCCTCACTGTCCACAAGTTTGACATGGCTTGCTGTACAATATCAAGAACAAGAACTTGACATTGATACCATGTATATGTATATGTTTTTTGCCATTTTATTACATGTGTCGATTTGTGTAACCACCTTCACAATCAAGAGACAGAACTACTCCATTTTCTACATACAGCCCCTTTATAGTCACACCCTCTTCTTCTTTACCATCCCTGAACCCTGGAAACCACTGACTTCTCTATCTCTGTACTTTTGTCATTTCAAGGAGTTATACAGTATGTGATCATTTGAGATCTCCCCTTTTTTGTTTACTTGTTCTAATAACTGAAGAATATGTCAGTTTCCCTCTAGTCCCTCCAATCCCCCAGTGTAATGTCCTTGTGGCCTGTCCAAGTTGTTCTACGTGTCATTAGATTTATTGCCATGTAGTATGCCATGGCTTTGGATGAACCAGACTTTGTTTAACTGTGCTTCGGTTGTAGGGAATTTTTTGTTTCCAGGTTTGTCTATCCTATCTAATAAAAGAGTAATATGCAGATTGATCATCACTCCAACATAAGATTGCTGCCCCCAGGTGGTCAATGATCCTGCCCCCATGTGAACACAAGATAGCCACCACAAGATGGCCAGCAGGGGAGGGTAGTTGGGAGGGACCAGTCTGGCAGAGGAGGGAAGTTGGGGGTGATCGGGCATGCAGGGAAGGGCAGATAGGGGGTGGGGGCAAGGCCTGCAGTGGAGAGCAGTTGGGTGGACCAGGCATGTAGGGGGGAGGGCAGTTAGGAGTGACCTGGCCTGCAAGGGACAGCAGTTAGGGCCAAACAGGCTGTCAGGGGAGCAGTTAGGCATCAATCAGGCTGGCAGGGGAGTGATTAGAGGTTGATCAAGCTAGCAGACAGAAGTGGTTAGGGGCATTCAGGAAGCCAGGCAGATGAGCATTTGGGAGCCAGCAGTCCTGGATTGTGGGAGGGATGTCCTGACTGCTTGTTTAGGCCCGATCCCACTTGGGTCCAGATTGGAAAGGGTGCATGCTGGGCTGAGGGACACCATCCTCCCCCATGCATGGATTTCGTGCACCGGGCCTCTAGTCACAAATAAAGCTGGTATGAGCAATCTTGCATAGGTTTTATAAGCAAATCCTATTATGTATTAGATTGGCCAGCAGTTTTCCTTTGTTGTAATGTTTTGTCAGGTTTTGTCTCTTAAGATTATGTTGGTCTCATAAAGTGAGTTGGAGATTGTCCCTTCTTTTTTTGTCCTTGTAGGAGTTTGCATAAGATTGATGTTATTTTTTTCCTTAAATGTTTGTAAGAATTTATCATTGAAGCCATTTGAGCACTTGGTTTTCTTTGTGGGTAGGTTTTAAATTATGGATCAAATTTACTAAATAAATATGAAACTGTCATCGTCTTGTGAGAGTTTGGATAAATTGTTTTTTCTACTAATCCATTTCATCTAAATTTAAAAATAGTTTTATAAACTTACCTTCTTTGACTGTAATTTGCTATTGTAACTTTCCGAGATAGATGAATATATAATTAATTTGTCTAGACCCTTGTTTTATTGCATATACTATTAAGACTGTAAGTTTTCCTTATAGCTGATTTATGTGTATAGTATACACATTTATTTATTTTTATGCTATAACCAAGGTGGAAATTAATTAAAGCGCAAGTACAGACTCCCACATGGGGAAGGGGAAAGAATCTCACAGCACAGACTCCCACGTGGGGAGGAGGAAAGAGTCCCTAGTATGCGCTTTTGACATTAGTATCTTCATTATTACTAGGTTAAAACTATCTTTTATTTTCTCTTATCAGTTATTTGACGCATAAGTTATTTAATGCGCGCACACACATATATATAAATTATTGTTTTGATTAATCTTCAATGGAGGATATTTTTTCTGTTGATTTTTATTTTATTTTTTATTTAAAAAAAATATATTTTACTAATTTTTTACAGAGAGGAAGGGAGAGAGATAGTTAGAAACATTGATGAGAGAAAGTCTTTGATCAGCTGCCTCTTGCACACCCCCCACTGGGGATATGCCCTCAACCAAGGTATTATACATGCCCTTGACTGGAATTGAACCCAGGACCCTTCAGTCCACAGGCTGACCCTCTATCCACTGAGCCTTACCAGTGTTGGCTTTTCTATTGATTTTTAGATGGAGTAGAAGGGAGGAGAAGACAGAGATAGAAACATAGATGTGAGAGAGACACATCAATGGTTGCCTCCCACATACCCACCTGGAATCGAACCCAAGACACTTCATTCTATAGGCTGATGCTCTATCCACTGAGCAAAACCAGTTAGAACTATTTAATATATTTTTATTGATTTCAGAGAGGAAGGGAGAGGAAGAGTGAGATAAAAACATCAATGATGAGAGAGAATCATTGACCAACTGTCTTCCTTGCATTCCCCCTTACTGGGGATCGAGGCCATAACCTGGGCATGTACCCTGAATGGGAATTGAACTATGACCTCCTGGTTAATGAGTCTACACTCAACAACTTAGCCACATCTGCCAGGCAACACATGAGCTTCTTATATGTTATTATTGCTTAATTTCCAGACAGGAAAGGATTTTTTAGTTACCACTTTATATTTGAGTTCCCTTTTATCCTACTATAATCTGAGAACATGTTTTGTTTGATTTCTCTTTTGATTTTTTTTAAGACTTGTTTTATGATATGTTCCAGTACTTAGTTTCTATAAATGTTTGCATCTGAAAAATTATGTACATTTTGCAGTTGTTGGACTAAATGTTCTTTATGAATATTTTGCAGTTACATTTGTTCATTATGCTGTTCAGATCTTGTATACCTATACTATAGTTTTTGTTTACTTGTTCTTCTAATTACTGGAAGAGTATGTCAGTTTCCCTCTGTGGATTTTCTAGTTCCACTTGTAGGTCTGTTAGTTCTTAATTTATATTATACTAGAGTCCCAGTGCATGAAATTTGTGCATGGGTAAGATCCCTAGCAGCTTCCATCAGGGGGCATCTCCCTTCCCATAGCTGCCAGCCCCACCCCCTGGTCAAAGTCCTGGTTGAACTCCTAATTGAAGGGACAATTTGCATATAGGATTTTTCATTTTTATAATGAAAGGATCTTTTATAGTTTCAGATTTTCTTCCAGAAATTCTTCTAGTTTTTATTTTTCACTTTTAAATTTCTTTAGCATTCTGATCATTCTTTTTAATAAAGTTTGTTTTTGAAAGCTCCATCATCTGGGTCTCTTTTGGTTCTGTTTCTGTTGTCTGCTACTTCCCTTGAATTTTTTATCATAATATCATGTCTTCTTATGTACCTGGTTATTGTGAATGCTGGAGACTTAAAATGAAAAACATTGTAGAGAATTTAAAGGCTAGAGTAAGACAATCTTTCCCCAGGGCAGACTTATACCTGTTTCCGGGAGATGGTTAGTGGCATTGGCAATCCTGGGCATTTTAATGTAATCAAGGAGGAAGGTGATTTGAAGTTGGACTTCAGTCCTCATGAGATCTACAATGGGGGGAGATTCAACATGCCTTCCCTTCTTGGTGGTCCTCACACTTCAGCTTTTGCCCCACAGTCCTTACTGGCTGTTTCTGCCCTTGGAAAATGCCCCCGAGGAAACGTGGCCCTAATGCAGGGTTTCCTGCATCTCCAGATCTAACTCACTCCATAGTCTACTGTCAGGGAACATGTTTTGTTCTGCATTGTGTCCAGCGTTTCTAATTACTCACATCAGGAAGGCTTTTTCAATTTACTTACTTTCTTATATTGGAAGTGGAACTGTGATATTTTGTAAAAGTTTCTCTGATGAATTAGTGGCAGCTCCAGTTTAGAACTACTGCCTCTTTTCATCTTCTGCTGTCCTCCCCTCCTGGGTCAGGAGACTCCAACCACTTAGGCCTTTATGATTTTTCCTAACACGATCCTGCCCTTTGTGGCTGTTTTCCTTGCCTGGGGCTCATTCCCTCATAGTGAAGAGCTCACTCTTATTTTCCTTAAGTCTTCATCAAAAGGTCAGCCTTATCAGCAATACCTTTTTGAGCTTTCAGATGAGCACTACAAACAAAACAGCAACACCTCCTCCCCTTTAAGGTTCTTATATTTTTCTTTATTGTGTTCAAAACTTTAGGGCATGCTTTAGTTCCTTTCCACCACCTTGCATAAACTGACTTTCTCTCTCTCCCTTTCTCTCCCTTTCTCTCCCTTCTCTCTCTCTCTCTCTCTCTCTCTCTCTCTCTCTCTCTCTCTCTCTCTCTCTGCCTAAACTCTTTGAGATACTGTTTTGTACAGCATCTATTTTGATCCTGCACATAGAAAATTCTCAGTTAATATTAGTTGCTGAATGAATATATACATGAAATTACAATGTGGATGATATAAGTACATGCTTCAAAGGGTGATGATTAAATAAATTAATACATGTAAGGTATTAAAAACAGTGCCAGGCATGTAGTAAACACTCATTATTTTAAAAAATTGTTCCCTCTCAAGTAATCACTTCTCATTTCTAGATACTATATAGATTGAAAATGATTTGTGTTTATAAAACAAGCCCATTTCTACTCTACTCCCCCCACACTATTTCTATTATGATTAGCCCCAAATTTACAGCTGTTTTACAGTGGCTGTGACAGGAGAAGGAAGCTTAATCCATGGAACTCTATAGCTGGAGGATTTAGAGATGAGATCTATGCCTTTAAGCGTTTGTGATTTCTGCACCATCAGGTAGCAGCTTTTAATGTAACTTAGTGAGCGGTTGAGTGATTGATAGACTATGTTCCCTTTGAAGTTTTATCTCTTAAAGAAGGGACATTCCCGGAGAATGGCTCATAGGGTTTTATATAATGCAGATGAAATACAATGCTAAGAAGATAGATATAAGCAGATAGTGCCTTCTATAGAAGAGAACATCAAGATTTATAGACCTGAGCAGTAAGCATTGATTCAAGCAAGTGCTAAAGTCAGTGTTTGCCCCAAGGGACACCAAATCTTCATGATTAAAGAATATGTAGTTAATGTTACTATTCTTATAAGGTCTCATTAGAAGTATCTGCAAATCTTTTGGCATGAATCTCTTGAGTATAACTTTCCTTTAGGAAAAACCCACAACCAGTTTCTAAGTTGAAGAGTTCTTTAAAATACTTGGAGAGGTTAATGAGCTTTTCTCTGATTGGTTTTAACTTGGACAGCAAAGCCTTCTGCCTGACAGTGTTATGAACTAGCTGCTTTACCCAAGAAATTGCATATCATTTGGTTTATACCCATTATATTGTTTCTAAGTCTTGATAATTTGATTCAAGACAAGGGCAAAATATCTTTGACCTTCATTAGAGCACAAAGAAAACATATGAAATAGCCAATGACACCTACCACATGGAACACTTTATATTTCTAATACCATAGAAACTCTTAGAAAGTTGAGATGAGAAAAAAGCTGAAGAAAACTTCGTGGAAAGATGAACTGTAAATAAAATCTCAAGTCGGGCTTGACTGGACAAACAGAAGAATATTTTGTAATGTGAGAAATAATCAGATTTCCAAAAGCCTTAGATTTAACATGTGAGCTTTAAAAATTTATACAAAGCAATGTGTTGTTATAGAAATATTTGAAAAGACATAAGTAAAAATAAATCCTAATACCAGAGAACACTACCTTTAACATTTGATACATAGCTTCCCAGACCTTTTTCTGTCTATGCATAAACAGATGTGAATATATACATAGGGGTTTGTATTTGTATGTATGAATAAATGGGAAAATAAATATTTATAAAAAGGGATAAATTGTTTCATAAAGATTTACTTAAAAAGTTATTGCTATTACAAGATTATATATATAGCAGTTTGAAAGAGCACTATGGTCTTTGTGATTCCTAGGGTTTCCCTTTCTGAACATAGTATATATATTTGGTAGAGGAAGTAGAATCATTGTTTTGACTGATAATGAATCTCTTGTAATTCTTTAGGTGCTGGATCTTCAGCTTTGAAAAGACCATTTGAAGATGGATTAGGAGATGATAAAGATCCCAATAAAAAGATGAAACGGAACTTAAGGAAAAGTATGTAAAATTTTTTTCTTATAGATGTTAACTAGAAAAGACTTAGAGTCTCAGGAAAAGAAAATTTTCAGAGTGAAGAATTTGATTGATTTGAATTGGGGTTTTTAGAATAGATCTTTACTGAGAAATTGGTGATGGAATAACTTTTTTTTGTTTCCAAGCTTCATTGCTTTAAACAGCAATTTTTAACCTTTTTCATCTCATGGCACACATAAATAATTACTAAAATTCTGCAGCACACTGAAAGATAACATTTTTTGCTGATATGACCCCCCCAAAAAGGTATAATTTGATTCATTCACACTGGACAGCTATTGTGTTGGCTGTTGTTCTTTTTATTTTGACAATCTAAGGGAAAAACAGGTCAGTGCCTCTGACTAAATAGTTAGGTTTTTCAAGTTTTAAAAATTCTTATGGCACACTGGTTGAAAATCACTGGTTTAGGGTATATTAATTTTGCCAAACTAAAATTAATAGATATAGTAATGCATTTTATTTTTACAGTGATGTTAGCATAATAATTTAAGAAGTAATTTTATAATTTACTAGAGGCCTGCTGCACAAAATTCATTCACGGCGGGGGTGAGGGGGTAATTGTCCCTCAATCCAGCCTGCACCCTCTCCAATCTGGGACCCCTTGAGGGATGTCCAGGACTGCTGACTCGCAACTGCTCGCTTGACTGATTGCCCTAACCGCTTCTGCCTGCCAGCCTGATCACCCCCTTAGCATTCCCCTGCCAGCCTGATGAATGCCTAACTGCTCCCCTACTGGCCTGACTGCCCCTAACTGCCCCCCCTGCCATCCAGGTTGTCCCCAACTGTCCTCCCCTGCTGTCCTGGTCACCCCAACTGCCCTCCCCTGCTGGCCCAGTCACCCCTACCTTCCCTCCCTTGCCAACCTGGTCACCCCTAACTGCCCTCCCCTGCCAGTCTGGTCGCCCCCAACTGTTCTACCCTGCAGGCCTGTCCTTCCCAACTGCCCTCCCCTGCCAGCCTTCTTGTGGTGGCCATCTTTGACCACATGGGGGCAGCCATCTTGTGTCTTAGAGTGATGGTTAATTTGCATATTACCTTTTAAAATATATATTTTATTGATTTTTTACAGAGAGGAAGGGAGAGAGAGAGTTAGAAACATTGATGAGAGAATCATCGATCAGCTGCCTCTTGCACACCCCCTACTGGGGACGTGCCCACAACCAAAGGTACATGCCCTTGACCAGAACTGAACCCGGGACCCTTCAGTCCATAGGCTGACACTCTATTCACTGAGCCAAACTGGTTTTGGCTTTATTACCTTTTTAAAAAAATAAATCTTTGTTGTTCAGATTATTACAGTTGTTCCTCTTCCCCTCCCCCACCCCCCATAGCTCTCCTCCATGCAGTTCCCATCCTCAGCTCTTACCCCCTCATTGTCCTCATCCAGAGATGTACAGATTTTTGTCCAGTCTCTTCCTGCACCCCCCACATCCTTTCCCCCCACCAAGAATTGTCAGTCCACTTCCTTTCTATTCCCCTGATTCTATTCTATTCACCAGTTTATTCTGTTCATCAGATTTTTTATTCACTTGATTTTTAGATTTACTTATTGATAGATATGTATTTGTTGTTCATAATTTTTATCTTTACCTTTTTCTTCTTCTTCCTCTTCTTAAATAATACCTTTCAGCATTTTATATAATACTGGTTTGGCGGTGATAAACTCCTTTAGCTTTTTCTTATATGTGAAACTCTTTATCTGACCTTCAATTCTGAATGATAACTTTGCTGGGTAGAGTAATCTTAGTTGTAGATTCTTGCTATTCATCACTTTGAATATTTCTCCCACTCCCTTCTGGCTTGCATAGTTTCTGTTGAGAAATCAGCTGACAGTCTTATGGATGCTCCCTTGTAGGTAACTGTTTTTCTCTTGCTGCTTTTAATATTCTCTCTTTGTCTTTTGTTCTTGGCATTTTAATTATGATGTGTCTTGGTGTGATCCTCTTTGGATTCCTTTTGTTTGGGGTTCTGTGCACTTCTGGACTTGTAAGTCTATTTCACCAGGTGGGGGAAGTTTTTGGTCATTATTTCTTCAAATATGTTTTCAGTATCTTGCTCTCTCTCTTCTTCTGGCACCTCCATAATTCGGATGTTGGTATGCTTGAAGTTGTCCCAGAGGTTTCTTACACTATCTTCATATTTTTGGATTTTTTTTTCTTTTCTTTTCTGATTGAGTGATTTTTTGCTTCTTTGTATTTTAAATCGTTGACTTGGTTCTTGCGATCCTCTAGTCTGCTATTTGGATCTCTGTATGTTATTTTTTATTTCAGTCAGTGTATGCTTAATTTCTAGTTGGTCCTTTTTCATATCCTCAGGTCTTGCTAAATTTATCTACCTGTTCTAGAAAATTCTTGAAAAATCTTACCGTGATTTTGAACTCTATATCCAGTTGTTTGCTTTCCTCCATTTCTTTCATTTGTGACCTGTTTATTGTGTCTGCATTTTGGCTGCTTCTCTGAGTTGATAGAGTGGCTTTGTGTGTTAGGTATTCTATAGGGTCCAGTGGCTCAGCCTCACTAGTTACCTGAGGTGGACACTCTTGGTGCATCCGTTTGCAGGCTGTGTGCACAGTCTTATTGTAGTTAAGCCTTGATTGTTTTTGGTATCACTGGGAGGAATTGACCTCCAGGCCAATTGGCTGTGAGGATCAGCTGTGTCTACGCTGGGAGAACTTCTGTGCTAGAGTCACCCTTATGAGACAAGACTTACAAAAGCCTCTGTGCTCAGCTTGGATGTGGCAGAGTCTCAGGGTGGAGTAGACAGCAATGGCTTCCGATCAGCCCTGCCCTAAAAGGCCCCTGAGTCTCAGTGTCCCGTGGTAATTGCTGCAAGCACCTCTGAGAGAAAGCCACCCTCAAATTTCACCCGCTGCCAGACAGTCCACTTTCTCCCCAAATGAGTCTGGGTCCCCACAGTCTCGCCCGGAACTGGATTTCAGAGCAGTCAAGAGCTTTGATCTCCCTCCTGATCGAGAAAGCCACCCCATACTCAGTTGCCCGCACGCGCGCACCTCCGTACCTGTACCTTCTGCGCAGTTCCTCTGAGTCTCAGTGTTCTTTTCTCTTTCCTTCTAGTTGTAGAATTTCCACTCAGCCAGCCTTCCCGTGGTTCTTGGATGATGGTCTGTTTTGTCTTTTAGTTCTAGTTTTGAAATTGTTATGTGAGGCAGCAGTTTAGGTGTTTACCTATGCTGCCATCTTGGTTTCTCTCCATATTATCTTTTTATTCTATAGTATTATATAGGATGAGATTATTTGTATGTGTTTTAAAATTTTTGTTTTAAAAATTTTGATAAATTTATAGTGATCACTAGGAACCTACAAATGCATAGATTAAGACAAAATGGTTAAATATCTGATCTCCTTTTTCTTTTAACAGTTCTGGATAGTAAAGCAATAGATCTTATGAATGCGCTAATGAGGCTAAATCAAATCAGACCTGGGCTTCAGTATAAGCTCTTATCTCAGTCTGGCCCTGTCCATGCCCCAGTCTTCACAATGTCTGTAGATGTGGATGGTACAACATACGAAGCCTCGGGACCATCCAAGAAAACAGCAAAGCTTCATGTAGCAGTGAAGGTACTGTATGTCTTAACTTACTAGTGCTTTGCTATTTTATATTGTAAATATGGTGGTTATTTTCCTATAATAAATTATCAGAACTTTTTTTTAGATTTTAATAATATAAAGAGTTTTGTGATCTCTGGTCACAAAATTCTTTTTTGGTTGTAAAATATGTGTTGATTATACAAAATTTGAAAAAAGCAAAGAAAAAGAAAAATATTAGTTGCATATATATATCATCTGTCTCAGAAATATGCAACTAATGTGTGTGTGTGTGTGTGTGTAATATATATACATATATATGTATATATATATATACACCTATTTTTTATTTATCCAATTTTACCCTCTGATTTTCTTTATTTAACTTGTCCTGAATATTTTCCCCTGTGTTAAAAGCTTCATAAATAATACTTAATGCTTGTATGAGTAACATGATATTGATATAATATTTGTTTAAAAATTTCTTTATCATTGGATATTTTGCTATTTGCAGACGTTTTCTGTCATAAATTTGATCATCTTTGTGCCTGTGCCCCTTCTGTATTTCAGAGGATTTCCATAGGTAATATGATACACAATTGAGCCAATTAGTCATTCATGTAGGTTTGTAGAAAATTCTTACATTTTGGAATCCCTCTAAGAGCACATTTGACTTCTTGCAAACATATATGAAAATTTCAAAGGTCATGTAGACTGAAGATAAGTTTTCACTTAGAAGTTCTGTTATGCAGCTATCTGGCATAAGATATAATTGGTCTGTTTTCATGATCATTCCATTTTGCAATATGTATTATTAATGTAAATGTAGACATTATCTTAGAACTAAGGATACAGCAGGCAGCAAAGTCTTTATCCTCCTGGAGCTTGTATTCCAGTGTGGTATGTTGGGGAGACAGATCACAGATATATAAGTGAATAAGTTACTATCAGGTAATAATAAGAATAATGCAGAAAAGTAAGAAATAAGCTTAATAATATAAAACAATATTTATGTTCTGTCTTCTTTATAGAAAGGGTACTTCAGGTATGATGAAATAGTATGAGTTTATGAAACAGAAGAAGAAGGCCAAGAATGAGGAACAAGGTGAAGCCAGGAATACGGCTAAAAATGCTGTTTGATAATTTAGCTATAATTTATATATGCTGAGAATGAGTCATAATTATAGACCTAGGTTCTCTGGCATCTGACACAAAATCAGGTGAAATCTCGATCCACTGTCTATGACATAATAACTGACATAATAACATAATAACTGACAGTTGATTGAGAGTCACGGTTGTTCTGGTATAAAAATCAAGTGGGCATTCTCTTTGGGTAAGTCTTTGTAAAAGGAATAGCAATGATATCTTTTAAGAGGTACCTATAATGTAGAGATACAGTTTGTGGTTGTTTTGTAATAACCTTTAATACTGTATAAACTAGAGATTTCATAGCAAATTGCAATTCAATAAAGTTAATAGAGTGGTACATTTTGCAATATGACAAGATTTAGATGCTATTTGTTCTCATAATAACCATTAACATTTTGGTATGTATTTTTCCAAATCCTCCCTTACCTCTCCCCCTACAATTTCAAAATCTAAAAAGCACTAAAAATGAAAAATACTTTTCTAAGTTTGATGCAAACTCACTTGATGGAAAAACCTGACCAGAATTGATGTGTGGCTATTTTTATTCTTTATTATTCCATTTAATGTGAATATTTTATCTATTTCTTTGCCCAAACATGGTTTAGCACCTGAAATACCACTGGAGATTTAGAAAATATATGGTGTAAATATATTGGAGTAGCTTTCTAAACTCTGAAAAGTTATAAATTCTTAAAATAGTCTGGCCCAAAGGGTTTTAGGTAAAGAATGATGGGAACTACAAAATATCTACTTAAAATAGAATCATATTTTCTTTGTTCATCTAACAATATATTGAGTTTTTTTATAGTTATCATAAAGATTGTTCTCATTTTTACTGATGGCCTAATATTTCATTACCACTATTCTACAGCAATGTCACTAATCCTTTTTTAAATATACTAGTGGCCTGGTGCACAAAATTCATGCATAGGGGGATGAGTGTCTTTCAGCCCAGCCTGCACCCTCTCTAATCTAGGACCCTTTGAGGGACGTCCGACTGCCAGTTTAGGCCCTCTGGCAATCTGAGACTGCTGGCTCCTAACAGCTCACTTGCCTGCCTGCCTGATTGCCCCTAACCACTCTGCCTGCCAGCCTGATCACCCCCAACTGCCTCCCCTACACCAGCCTGATCTTCCCTTTCCCCTACCCCCTCCACCAGCCTGATCACCCACAACTGCTGTTCACTCTTGGCTCCTAACTGCCTCTACTTCAGCCCTGCCACCATGGCTTTGTCCAGAAGAACACCCAGAAGGTGTCCTGGAAGGTCTCCCAGTCTAATTAGCATATTACACTTTTATTAGTATAGATAGAGGCCTAGTGTACAGGTTGGGGCCTGGTGGTTTGCCTTGAAGGATGTCCCGGATCAGGGTGGGTGTTCCCTTGGAGAGTGGGGCAGCTTGGCAAAGGGCCTGTGGTTGTTTGCGGCTGGCCATGCCCCCATTGGGGTGTGGGTGCCCACTGAGGACGTGTGCCTGGGAGAGGGGCTGGGGCAGTTTGCAGGCCAGCCATGCCCCCATGGGATGGGAGTCCCCGATGGGATGCCTGCCCAGCCTGGGTGAGGGTCTGCTGGCTATTTGCAGGCTGGCCATGCTCCTCAGCGGGACCCTCACCCCATGGCAGCATGGCCAGCCAGAGTGAGGGGCTGAGGCTTGTTTGCAGACCCCTCCCTCAGTGGCTGGCCAGGGCTACACAAGCCTCCTGCACTCAGGCCTGCTCCATGGCCACTGCCGACAAGCCCCTCCTTTGGTGGCCAGCCCAGGTGGGCTGGAAGCTTGGCTTCTTTTGTTGCCAGAAGTGACCCAAGCCTGCTCTGGCTGGCTCCATGGCTGCCGCCATCTTTGTCCCACTAATTTGCATATTCATTCCTAATTGGCTGGTGGGCTAATTTACATATTTCTCTTTTATTCGTGTACATATGCTTTCTTTTGATTACTTTACATCCTTTTGAACTAGTATGATTATCCTTTAAGATATATCCTACAGGTAGAATTACCCGGTCAAGAAGAAACCCATTTGAATGAACTACTAATTAAATATGTATTGAGATTTCTATTAATGTCGGGTATATATTTGTGAAAGTAGGTTCCACTTGATGAAAATCCTTGCATTTCTTAATAAGCTTAGTAGAGTTCTGTACCTGTTAAGACAAATCACACCATAGAATCAAAAAAGAAGAAATCAGTTTCTGCCACAAGAGCCTGGCTGCTCAACAACAGGCAGCCTACAGTGGTCAATCTTCCCTTTCCTCTTCCAGTTATTTCTTCTTAGAATCCCTCACAAATAACACCTGTAGGGACAAAAGCAGCCATATTTCATGGAAAGAATCTTATTCATTGGAAAAAAGATCAGTTAGAAGGGGGTACAAAGTGAAGACTCTTTGGAGAGGTTCTTGGAGCTATCAGATCTCTATCAGATAGAAGCCATGAATGTGACTTTGTTTTGACTGGGGAGCCATGGGGTAGAATGTGTTTTTATGTGTTTTCACTCTAAGTCTCTAGTCTTTTAAGGTGTCATCTTTCTCAGTTTCAACCCCCTATCATGAGAAAAAAAAGGCATGGTTACACTAGACTTCCCAGTCACCTTATTTTCAGGACTCATCTTGTGAATTTCAGCTCATTTGATGTGTTTATTAGGTTGGATTTGTTAGCTAGACAATTGAAACCCACCTTTCTTTGGTATAGCAAATTTTTAGCCTCATGTAATTAAGGCAAATTTTAGCCTCATGTAATTAAGGCAAATTTTTAGTCTTAATTTTCATTTCAAACAAACTGTCATTCCAGAAGTCTGAAGACTTCATTTTTTTGTTTACTTTTATAGCATCTACCAGTTAATCATCTTTGAATTTTGTATTCATAGAAAATTACTTAACTTGAAAATTTTGTCAATTGAGCTGCATTGCAATCAAGTATTCTGTATCCCTTGGTATTATCTATTAGTTATATAAACAATTTATGAATGTATTGAAATAAGTTGCTATAATAAGAGGTAAGTAAATGAATTTGATATGTGAGCAAGGGCAGAGACCTGCTAAGTAATTTACATGAGGCTATTTTAACTACCTGTTTTAAATGGGGCGAAACTGCATGTCTATCTAGTTTTTATTGGAATGAACAGGTCAAATTTACTTGTGACTGACTCTGGCTTTTGACTTGCAGCTTATTAGCTAGTGTTAATTCCAGGCTAGTAACTGTTCTCTCAGGGATGTGATTTCTCAGGAAGAATATATTCATTTGCCGGACTCAGTGGATTGATGAGGTTGTAACCATATGATTTGAGTGTGTGCTCAATGTCAAGGGCTACCTGACTAATAGAACTCAAGATGTTTAAAAAAAAAAGGGGGGGGGAGGGATTATGGCTTTATTCCCAATTAATACAAGGAGTTTATAAGTGATTTCAAGTGTTCAACAGAATGCCAGAATTTCCATGTGAATTGGGTAGATTAATTTCAAGTTCTCTTATAAAGAGTTATTATACTCTTTTTTGTTGTTTTGATTTTTTTGTTTAGAGTGATACTACCTTATTTATATGGGTAATCTGTCATATAAGTTGGCATTGTTTATAAAAGCTGGGGTGCCTGGCTGGTCATTTGTGTGATTATCAGAATCGTTTATTTTTATTTATGATCTTTTTAAAGCCAACTTAATTGAGTTATTTATATGTAGGAAAGTTAATCATTTATTGATATTATGGTTTATAATCATGTAACCACCACCTCTGTCAAGATATAAAATATTTTCTCTCACCCTGAAAGTCCTCTGATGTCCCATAGTAATGGATCTCCCTTGCCACGTCTCTACCCCCTGGCATCCTCTAATCAGTTTTCAGAATAGTTTTTTTGTGTTTTTTTTTTTTTGTGTTTTTTTTTTTTTTTTTTGAGAGGCACCTGCTATGTATAGCTGGGATTGTAAAGAAATACGATGTGCTTTTACAGTACAGCAACTTAAAACATTAGTCAAAAACTAAAACAAATATAGGGGGGTTTTTAGGAACCTCTCTATTTTCTGATATAAACCTCTAAATTAGTAACAGACAGTCCAATATAAACCTGTTTAAAAGAGGCTTATACAAGTCCTGGTGAACGTATTTCTCTTGTAAACTGAAAAGCAGTGTCATCTGGAAGGAGGTTTTAAAAGGTGTGTGTGTGTGTGTGTGTGTGTGTGTGTTTACGCAAACACATAGGGCTCTGGAAACCTTATTTTATGAAAGATAAGAAATTCTAGGCTTGACTGGAACTATAGAAGAATGAACATTGGAGGAATCCAAGCCATAACCAGTTCTTGTGAGAAAGGGGTGGAAATACAAACCTTAAATTGTTCTGGTTCACTTCTTACAGAGACTAAACCTAAAGACTGAGGTCTCAGGTCTCACTTATGGTTTTAGTTAAAAGCAAAGAGGCCAATAGGAGAAAGCTTCAGATGTTATTTTGTATTATAATTGACTGGAAAATTGATTTCAAGGTAAAGAAAGCTTCTTGATGGCCTTTTTGTGCTAATTTCACCTAATGGGTTGAATCGTAAAATTTAGAGTCTTCCAGTCTTGCATATTGGAAAAATTTTTTAAAAATATATATATTTTATTGATTTTTCACAGAGAGGAAGAGAAAGATAGAGAGTTAGAAACATCGATGAGAGAGAATCATCGATCAGCTGCCTCCTGCACACCCCCTACTGGAAAATTGAGGACCAGAGGGGAAATTCAGGATTAGACCCTCCTGTCTTTTCCTTTCTAGTCCAATGTACAATTTTACTTCTCCCCTCATCTCATTGGTTGAACTTGGCTATTTTCTCTTATCTCTTACCTCCAAACTAAATGAACCATGAGCAACCTCAGGTTTTCATTTCCATCATCCTTTATTTAAATCTAATTACTCTATGGAGGATTTTTTCATTTTTATGGTGATATCCTGGTAGGTGAAACCAAGGATTTATATACGCATATAGTACCATCTTGCTCTTCCTACAAGGTAGATAATAGGTTCAAATGTTGTGGATTTGAAACTGTTGTCTTTAATATTTCATCTATTATTTGTGGTTTCTGTTGTTTGAATAACACTGAATCTTAATATAATTTGTACAGGTATTGCAGGCAATGGGATACCCAACAGGGTTTGATGCAGATATTGAATGTATGAGTTCCGATGAAAAATCAGATAATGAAAGCAAAAATGAAACAGTGTCTTCAAACTCAAGCAATAATACTGGAAATTCTACAACTGAAACCTCCAGTACCTTAGAGGTATATTTATACATTATTTTCCTTAGAAAAAAAATATTCATTATAGAAAACTTGAGAACTATGGAAAAATATAAATAAAAATCAAAAGTATATATAAATGGATATATTCCAAAGACAGGTATTATTAATATTTTGGTTTATTTTCATCCATCCGTTTTTTATAATTTTTATTTTCATTTTAATTCTCACTTGGTATTTTTTCTTTTTAAGTGCGGATGGAAGAGGGAGAGACAGAAAGAGAAACATCAATGTGAGAGAGAAATATTGATATGAAACAGACAAATGAATTGGTTGCCTATCACACGCATCCCAGCTGGGCAGGGCATTTAACCTGCAACCCAGGTACATGCCCTTGCCCAGGAATTGAACCCTCAACCCTTTGCTACACAGGCTGGCACTAATCATTGAGTAACACTGGCCATGGCTCTGTAAGTATTTTTGTGAGGGTATTTTTATACAGTTTTACATCTTGTTTTTCCCTCTTAATTCTTAAAATATTTGTAAAAGGCCCTGGCTGGTTTGGCTCAGATGGAGGTAGCATTGTCTCGTGCATCAAAGCTTACTGGTTGGATCCTGGTCAGGCAGAGTCTGAGTTGCAGGTTCCATCCCCCATGGGGACACATACAGGAAACAGCCATTAGATGTTTCTCTCATACAATCATGTTTCTTTTTCTTTCTCTCCTTTCCTCTCTCTCTCTGGAGGGGGGGGGGGGGGAATCAGTAAAAACATATCCTCAGGTGAGGATTAAAAAAATCTGTACATGTACTGTGTACTGTACAACATGTTTAACTAGCATTTCCCTTTTGCTGCATTTCACAAGTATATTAACAATAACTGTAGAGCAAAGAAACAGAAGATCTAGTGGAAGAAATTTAGGATTATTTGAAGTTGTGCTAAGCTGAGAGTTGGACCCACTCTGAGAAAGACATATAGCTTGACCTACTATGTTCCTCAGACTCTGGGAAAGCCCTGGCCTATGAGCTTATGACCACAGACATCAGAATGGGACAGAATCCAAGCAATATATTCACAGCATATTAGGGAATTCATAAGAAAAATTGGCTTTCAAGTAACAGCAATAGCTTACATTATCATTTAAAATTTGTCATTTCTATGAGTGCGTATTTATTAAGGAGTACCTGCTTACTACAGTTGCTGAAGAATGATGTTGACCAGAACCTCAAGATGCCCTCAGGTTAGAAGGTCAAAAGACATGTTTATAACTAATTACACTGTAATGTGATAAAGCTCTGTGATTGCAAAATGAAATAATATAAAATCTCCAAATAGCAAATGATTGAAACTTACACATGTGAAATAAAGGGAGTAAAATGTGAGCTAGGTTTTAGATAATGTGTAGGGCTTTTTAGGGAAGAGATAGAAGGCATTCTAGGTCAGAGGACTAGTATAAGTATAAAGGAGTTGTGAAAGGAAATGTTTAGAAGTACCAGGTGGGCCAGTGAGGAGGGGCCTAAAGGGGACTGATGCCTGTAAAAAACATGCCTGACTCTCTGTGTGATGTGGAGGACAGTAAACATGGGACCTGGCTTCTGAGAGGACCAGTCATTCACAAGTGGTAGTCATAGGCAGAGCAAGATGGGTTTTTTGTTTTTTGTTTTTTAATATATTTCATTGATTTTTTTTTATGGAGAGTAAGGGAGAGGAATAGAATGTTAGAAACATCGATGAGAGAGAAACATCAAGTTGCTGCCTCCTACACACTGCCTACTGGGGATGTGCCCACAACCAAGGTACATGCCTTTGACTGGAATTGAACCTGGGACCCTTCAGTCTGCAGGCTGATGATCTATCCACTGAGCCAAACCTGTTAGGGCCAGAGCAAGATGTTTTGCTGGCAGTCTTAGAAATTGTAAGGAGAGAAAGAGGTCATTAATTATGAGGCTCAGACCTTTAAGTTTGGAGGGAATTGGGAAGGAAGAGGGCAGTGTGGCTGCACTAATGGCAGTCACGAGTGTATGGAGCTTTTGGTAGTGAATACATCACTGCTTTGTTTCTGGATGATGTAATAATGGGAGAGGCGACACAAAGCCCTATTCTTCATGGAAGTAGGAGTAACTGATTAGAATGCAAAGATTTTTATATCTTGACTTGTTTTTATAAAAGTGATTTCAGATTTGGGAAGCAGAGAGAGATTACCATAGACTAGTTTTTAAAAAAAGATTACCTTTTAAAGCTGGAGACTAGAAATGTGGATTATAAAAGCTCTTCAAAAAGTCATATTTATTACAAAAGGCCAGAAATGTTTATTGAGCTTGTCTTTAAAAAGAGTTCAATGTTTCACTTCTACAGCATCAACCACTTACCAAATCAGCGAGAATCTTGCTGTCCATTAGGTTTATATACATAATAATTCTTTTGGGCATTCATTTCTTTTCCAGCATTTCTTGAGCAGTTACTGTGGTGGAATTATAGACATGATCTCTAACCTTAAAAAGTCCTCAATCTTTGGGTCTTCCTCAAAATCATAGCTGTATTTTGCGGTTTGTTTTATTTTTGGTGCTAACTTCTCCATTTGAGCCTTCACACTCTTATGAGAATTACTTTTCTTCCCATGACTCTTACCTTTTTTTAAAGTCAGTTTTTTCTATCACTCCTAGAGTAAATTTTTACAGCCTACATCTAATTATGAACTTTCCCAGATGAAAGTCTTTCAGTCTTTCCATTATCCATGATACAGGCAAAGCCCGCGGCCTGATACACAGTGATTATGATCTGGCTCCAGTAGGGGTGTTTGCAGTGTGAGGTTCTGCATTATTCTTCTCACCCCTTCATTCAGCTCAACTGAACCTCCTGCCTTTTCTTCTGTCCAGAATGCCCTTCTCCTTTGATTCCTCCTTAGGATGGTCTTGCACTTAGCTCCCTTTTATGGGTGGGTTCACATTGTCACTTCCAGGGAAATTATCCTAATGGCCCTAGAAAGTGAGTCCTTCTATTGTGTTTCCTGAACTTACATCTGTTCTGTAATATACATTGTTTTACAGTGATTATATCTGTCCCACTGCACTAGAGCTCCTTGGGAACTGGGGAATGACAACTTTTATTGTTATTTTAAAATTTCAGAATCCATCGTTTATAGCCCACTTGTTTTGTTTTGTTTTACCTTAGGTGCCCTTAAATCTCTTTAGAGATACTGCAAGGTTGAATGGGCATTTTCTTCCAACCTCCTAAATTGAGTTATTTTTTTCTAATCCTAATGAAAAAAATACAGTGAACACTCATTTGAATCTCAACAGTTGTATCCATTTTGTTAGTCATTTAGATTATTATTCTTAGACCAGGAACACCACAACCACAGATCAGACCCGAGAGCACCGTGTAATGGCAGGACTACATTCATTCCTCTTGAATACTAATCTATTGGGACAGCCCGGCTTCAAAGGCAGGGTGTTCAGATGACTGGTTGGCTGCCTGGGACATTTATTCCTTTTCATACCTTTATAGATACTTGGTCATTTGTATATGGAGGTGCTCATGCACTAGCTCCTGAATGCTTTAAAATACAACTTTGAGCCTCTTTTTCAACAGAGACAAAGTATAATTGTATAATAAGAAATTTCATACTTTGAAATCTTGCTTGCTTGTACTTCCTTTTAGGTAAGAACTCAGGGCCCTATCCTCACAGCAAGTGGCAAAAATCCTGTAATGGAGCTCAATGAAAAAAGAAGAGGTCTGAAGTATGAACTTATCTCAGAGACTGGTGGAAGCCATGACAAGCGCTTTGTGATGGAGGTGTGTACCTAGATGCAAGCCAACCTGTTTTGCCCTCAGATATCAATAAATTTTAGTCTGAGTCTATTCTTGCGGCCCTGTTTGACTTTTGGTGTTTTCTGTGTTATGATCCATTTAAATTGAACTACATAGAGGAATTGCATGGGCTGACTGCGGAGTGTCGTTCTTGATTTTAGGTAGAAGTAGACGGACAGAAATTCAGAGGTGCAGGTCCAAATAAGAAAGTGGCAAAGGCGAGTGCAGCATTAGCTGCCCTGGAGAAGCTGTTTTCTGGACCCAATGCAGCAAATAATAAGAAAAAGAAGATTATTCCTCAGGTATGAGTTGAGCATTAATAACTTTGAAAAATATTACCAGAATTAAGTTTCCTTTTTTCTGTTTTTGTGCCACATTAGCTTTTTAAAAACTATTTGTTTTTCTTGGATTTAGTAATCTTTTCTTTGGGTTAGGTCCATGGTGGGCAAACTATGGCTCGCAAGCCACATGCAGCTCTTTGGCCTCTTGAGTGTGGCTCTTCCACAAAATACCACGGCCTGGGCAAGTCTATTTTGAAGAAGTGGCATTAGAAGAAGTTTAAGTTTAAAAAATTTGGCTCTCAAAAGAAATTTCAATCGTTTACTGTTGATATTTGGCTCTGTTGACCGACCATTGGGTTAGGTCATTAATAATATAAATGTGTCAGTGGGTCCCTGTTCTGTGGTTCCCCTAGGCAAATTATATATTGAAAAGAGAATGTTAGCATTATTTAAGGGCTTCAGAGCTCTCTTGATAAAGTGCAATGTTGAGGGATTTGGACTTGCATGAGATGTTAGCATTTGTCTGGTGTAGGGAAGCTGCCAAAATAACTTGGGCTTACTTTCACCGATCTGCAGATGCTCTTCCATTTCCTCCAGTTTTGAATTTTTGCAGCATTTATTTTGGGCTTTCTGTTGGAGATGGCATAGTAGAACTTGACCCTGTGTTGCTTCTTCTGTTGATTGGGGATGTCAGTGCTGCAAAGGCCTGGATTTAATCAAGATATTTGGAAAAGATGGCCTCCTAATTCCATGCTTTTGGATAACAGTTTCTTCTGATCATTTTTTTAATGCATTAAAAAATATTTTCTAGACATAACATGTGGAAGGTTGTGAGGGAAAAAGATAAATAAATATGGCACAGTCTCTCCTTCATGGAGGGTACTGTGTAATAATATCTGAATATATTATGTGATAGGAAAAAAGCAATTAAAATACTTATATTAATAGAAGGAAACGTGGGTTATTTAAGATTGTGTGTTAAACAGTTTCTTTTACATAAGCTTTTTTCTATTATAGGTCTATACAACAGGTCTATTATAGGAGGGTAGAATTGATCTCATTTTATTGATGAGTAAACAGGATACCAAGAAATTAAGATACTGTGTGTAGCAACATATCTTAAAAAGTTGTTTTGTGTACAACTTTTTTTATTTACTATAATAAATTGTTTAAATCTTAGGATTCAAAATATAAACAAGTAAAACTAACTTCTACTGAGATTAAATAAAAATAAAGTTTAAATTGCAGAGGAAGACATGTAGAGAGAATATGAATTTTCTTTTCCTAAATCTTCTAGAATATGTTTTAAATTTGGAGAAAGATAATTTTTACCTTTTCTATTTTGGTGTCATTTTCCTATGACTTACATCTTGTAATTGGCCAGTTCATTTTTGTGTTTAAAAGCCCTACTTGTAGAGACTTTTAAGGTAACTTTAGTTCTAGTAGAAATGAGCTTAATTTGTGTGAGGTCACTCTGCTATTGCCAGATTGTTGCTTCCTGACTACTTTTGAATAAGCTGTGTTAAAAAAAAAAAAAAAGTTTGAAGTTCACTCATTTTTAGAAGTTTTCCATCCTAGAAGCTATAAACCTCCTGTGTTCAATGTGTTTTGGATGTGTGGGGTGATTTTTTTTTTTCCAGCCAAAAAGAAAAAGTTCTCTGTGCATGATATATTAAACCTTGAAACTGCCTCTGCCCAGTTATATTAGCAGTAGAGGCTGACCTAAGAGGAGCAGAGGATGATGGTATTTCCATGTGAGATAAATGTTGTGTGCTCTGAGATACTGTTGGCTTTATCATACAGTGAGCTTTGAGGCTCTGCCTTCTTCCCCCTTCCTTGTTTGTAGTAGGGTATATTAGTAGTTTCTAGCTTTAGTTTTTGTTGCATTATTTCACTACAAAATAAGTATAGTATTTAACTTAAATCTAGATATCCTTGATTTTTAAAAGTCTTGGAATGGGATGTTTTAGCAGCCCTGTGTGCTGTTACTGCTTGATTTAGTCAACTTTTCAGGGTTTTATATCTTAATTCGAAACTGCTCTTTGTACTCTGAAGTAAGGAGAGTAGAATGGGTATTATTTTACAATTACGGGGGCAACTCCCCTAGAGAGAGATTATGGGACTTTACCAGATTCTAAGACATTTTAGAGCAAGAAAGGATTTTAGAGTTGGTATGTATGTATGTATGTATGCATATATGCATGCATTATTAATGGTTGGTGCGTACATGCACACACCCACAACAGAAGGGACAGGCTCAAGGAAATCTATGACCTTCCTGAGGTATTAGTAACTTAGAGCAGAAACTGGCATCCATATCTTTTGTCTTCCTGTCACAGTCCTTTTTTACAAAAACTCCATTCTGGTTTGCAGCTTGTTCTAGGTGATTTGTTGTTGCAGTGTTTTTTATGTCTGTCCGGAGAAGTCAGTGAATTTAGATCAAGTGTCTATAATTACTCTAGTCTGGCCTCAGCTGAATTTGGATGTAATTTGATACTGAAATTTGTATGTAGAAAATGAACTCTTTTTGGGTAGCCCTCAAGTAAACAGTTATTTGCATATTCTTATGTACTTAGCATATTACCTAGAATAAGTCTGTAAGGTAGGTGTCATTTTCATTCTACAGATGATAAAGTGAAGGCTTAAGATCATAGGCGATACACTGACTGTCATATATAGACTCAAGTTTCTCAGAGGGTATACATTATTAAGAGATAGTAGGATAATAGTTTTTATTTATCTCAGTAATAACAATGTGTTATTTTTAACAGGCAAAGGGCATTGTGAATACAGCCGTGTCTGCAGCAGTCCAGGCTGTTCGGGGCAGAGGAAGAGGAACTCTAACAAGGGGAGCTTTCGTTGGGGCTGCAGCTGCTCCTGGCTACATAGCTCCAGGTACAGTACCATCGGCAGATCTGCCTCCTTTTTCGGGCCAAAGAGGAATGGCGTCTCTTAATTTTCTAGGATTATACATGGTCTCTGGGAATACAATATGAGTGCAGGATGGGTGTGTACAGAAATTGGAAGGAGAATCTACAGAATGTCACAGGTTTTCTCACGGAATCTGTCGAGTGACTAGAGGCTTCCTGGAGGGAAGTGGCAGATGAGCAGTGTTGCACATAGTTGAAGGGATGCTTTGTTGACAGTGAGGAAGCTAAAAGATGTAGCACAGACTGAGGAGCAGAGTGCATTCAGTGGGATACAGAAGACAGAAAAATAGTTGCTAAGAGGTTAATTGAAGTGAAGCCTGGGCACTATTAGCATTTCCTTAACTCAATGTTTGGGAACCATCACAGACTAAAGAAACACAAAAAGAGAAAAAGGGGAACTTACCCAGAGCTTACTATATACCAGATACTTAAAAAAAATTTTTTTTATTGATTGATTTTAGAGACAGAAAGGAAGGGGGATGGAGAAAAACATTAATTTGTTGTTCCACTTATTTATGTATTCATTGGTTGATTCTTGTGTGCGCCCTGAATGGGGATTGAACTCAAAACCGTGGTTTACGCTCTAATCAACTAAGCTACCCAACCAGGGCACCAGATACTTTCATATAAGGGGTTTCACTTAGTTGTTTCTCATCTTCGCATGTTTCCTCACATGGAAATTATTTCCATTTTCCAGATGAGGAAAGTAGATTCAGGGAGATAAGGTGAAGCAAAGAGTTGAATATAGATGTTTGTAATTTCAAAGTTTCTCTTTCCCAATTTACCACATGGCTTGAGAGAGAGGATAAAAGTGCCATCTCCTTGGCTGTTCTAATCCATATGTCATTTTAATGGTAAATACACATGTTCCATTAAAATCAAGTTCTCTGCAATATTGAAAGTATGGAACTTTTAACTTGACACGTAAACTGCTTGTAGTTGTTGCTCAAGATGAAATTGTCATAAAGATAGGGATTTTTTTATGCAGTCATTTTTTAAGTTTACATAGATGGTGGTTTTTTTCTGAAGAACGAATTAGAATAGATTATTTGGGAAGTTGTATGGATAATTGAATTTGGCAATTCTACCTTCTAGAAGTTGATCCCAGTAGGGGCATAGCTCAGATATTTGTCATGTACACAATAGTTAAGTTACTCTAAAGGTGAGGCATAACTAATCAAATAGTCACTGTTATAGACTGAGATGATTCGATGACAGAGAAAGGCATGATGCTGAAAGAGGATGTAATAGAAAACTGCTCTTGTCTATTGGGTCCCTGAAGGCTTCCCGGAAGAAGTAACACTTGAACTGAGCTTTGAAGAATGAGGAGGAATTAACTTGGGGAGGAGTGTGAGGTGGAAGTTTCACACAGAAGAAAGCATGTGCAGAGACCTTGCGGTCCTGGTGGTAGGGAACTTGGCTCAGTTGAAGGTGTGGAAGGTCAGGATGTGATGTGGAAATTCTTGGGGTGGGGAGTGAGTTGAGCTGAGGCTGGATGCTCAGGCCCAGCCCTGGACACAGTGGTTTGGAATTTGTTCTTAGAATCCTAAGTGCAGTGGTATGTCGTGAAGGATTCTAAGAAGTGAAATGACAAGATCAGATTTTCTTTTTCCAGGTCATTGTGTGAAGAATATTGTAGGAACAGAAGTGGGCATGACAAGACAAGTTAAGGTTTTTATAAACTAGTAGCCCAGGCAAGAAACAATGGGGATGTCTCTAGTGGGTGTAAGGAAGTAAATGGGTGGCAGGAAGTGAATAGGTTGATGGATTCATGGATTCAAAATGAAGAATGAAAAAGAATGAATTTCTAGGATATCTCCTAGGATTTTAAGCTGAAGGAATTAGACTGGATAATTGTGCCATTCAAGGAGACGGAGAACACTGAAAGATGCATGTTAGGGACATGGGAGAAAGGATAGTCATAGTTTGGTACAATCTGTGTACAAATTAAGACATTTTTCTGTGTATCTCGTTATTTCAACTGAAATTTTTTGCCTTATTTAAAGCATTGTTGAAAGGAAGCAACTTTCACTTCACAACAATAGGGAAGTTATTGAGATTAGCTTTCTTGCCTTTGGTTACATGTTCCATTGGGACTCGATCTATTTGTGTCTATGGTTGCTTAGTCTTGAACATGTGCCTCCTGTTTGAGCGGTAAGCAGCCATCGTCTGTCTAGTGGCAATAATCTTAGGTCTGCTGTTGCCAGGTGTGTCTGCTCTGTAGCAACTTGTCATCACATTGACCTCTGTGAAAGGCCAGTCTCCTGAAGTTTTTAAAATGAAGTTCTCTTAGCCTAGAGAAGATTCAAATGAGGTTGGTTTAAGTATGAATGGATGATATGCCATTTGTGGAGTACATGCTATGCAGCAGGGACTGTATTTAGTATTTTTACGTATATTATTTAATTACATTTCACTGCCAACTCAATTACTGAAGTAGACTATGAGATGCAGAGAGGTTAAATAACAGGTACAATTCAAAGTCAACTTGCTAGTGAGAGGTGAAATCAGGATTAGAGCCCCAATGGTTTGCTCAGTGGCCAGCTAAGCAATATATCCTCATTTCTTTTTAAGGAGGTCTTGGTAAAACCCTTGAAACTATAGTCTTAGCCAAACAGCTGCCTTTTCCTGGATTTCATGCACAACTCACTTTTTAAAGCATTAATTTTCTCTTTTGACCTCTGATATTGTTCCTACTGCTTATTATGTCCACTTAAAATAACAATTGAGCATCAGAGATTAAGATTGAGACTATGTTGTACTATCCCTAGTTTTATATGACTGAAGTATAGACTAAAAAGTGAAAAAAAATGTATCTTTCAGGAAATGTTTCAATTAGTCCTTAAAAGCAGTTTAGTACTTGTTCAGTGCACATTTGAGTGTTTTGTCTCAAACAGGAGATTTGGAACTGGTTATTCAAAGACGACCAAGACTTAATGTCTGCCCTAGTGAATGCTTGGGGTCAGGTGGGAGGAGGAATAGACATTGAATAAACACCATGCAATGTGATGCAAGCTGTAACATGAGTGGGAAAGGAGTGGGAGACTTCACAGAGGAGGTGATGTTTGGTCCTGATCTAAATGACGAGTTGCAGCTGGTCATTAGCGTAGCAGACAGAGGGGTTGTAATGTAAAAGTGCTTGCTTTGTTGTGGGTACAATGTGAAGGGCCATGTACCTTCTATGCCCTTGTCCTATTTTAGAAACCATTTTTTCCTAGAAACTTTCCCAAGTGATTTATTAATATTTATATTTTTCAGTAAAGTTGTTTTACTGAAAAATTAAAGATTGTAGCTTCTGTTAATATAATATTTCTAATCCCTACAACACTAAAAAGTAGCTTGGAATGTTTCCCATTTTAAAGATGAGAAAACGGCAACTAAGAATTATATGTCTAAGAACATATAAGAAACTTGTGCCAGAACTATCTGGTTCAAAATCTTCTGTATTCTTAGTATTTTTATTGACAATATGAGCCTTTTCTCATAGGCACCAGATGTTAATGTCAATTGCACCATTATTTACTGAGAGACCCTGTACTGGAGCCAGGAATTCAGAGAGCAGCAAGATACGGACTTTGCCATTAAGCCCACAGCCTGACCTGTGTGCCCTCCTTAATGGCAGTTGAGGCTCCAGCCTGCTCTGTCACTGCTTTCTGGAAAGAGACTTGAAGAGGTCTGTTTTCCAGCTCTGAGAAATTGGTCACTTGAGTAGTTCTGAGTATTCCTTTGTTCAACATACTATATTTAGCCAGTGGTTACTACATTCTGCTTGATTCAGGCGATGCAGAGTGTCTGCCTCTCCCTTGGGAAACACAGACGAGTTGACAATTGTAGTAGCGTGTAAGCATAGTGAGGCGAGACCAGCTGTTCTGGAGGGTCAGAGGAGCCTGTGGACCACGTAGAAAGTTTCCATTCTCAGCAGGCCTGAAGGGATCGGTAGACTAGAGCCTGTCTGAGCATGGTCCTCATCCACCCAGCATCTGGATGAAGTCCTCAGGCCCACAAAGCTGGGCCCAGTGGTACTTGTGAATTGGACCGGTACCAGCTGCCCTTTGTCCTGGACTGATCTGATCTCTCTTCTTTGCACCAGGCTATGGAACACCATATGGCTACAGCACAGCTGCCCCTGCCTATGGTATGTACACCATCTTACTGGTTTCTCCTATTAGCGACTCTGTCACAGCAATCCCAAGCACAGTTTGTATCTAGGGTTTCTTTCAATGAATTGGAGGATCTCAGACCTATTCATTCTAGTGACCCAACTTAAATTCCCTTTGAAAATGCCACAACCTTGTGGTTCTGGGTTTGGTTGGAGTTGCTCTTCTCTCGCTTTGCCTGATTGAAGGACTGCTTGTTTCTAATTGCCTGTTTCTGACCATACTGAAATTAAGTATTTTAAGTAGTTCTTACAGCCAACTTATACTCCATTCAAAAGCTACTGAAGGGCCATATGCAGTTTCTAGCTTGGCTGCCTGCCAGTTATGTAGCTATACTTAAGTTTCTGGTTGGAAACTGAACTGTGGGTGATTGAAGTTAGGGATAGGAACTGCTCACTTCAAATTTGTAGCCATCATCCCTTTCCAAAAACCTGCGTTAGAGGTGGAGTCAACAGATCCTAGAGAGGTGATGGGCGTCACCAGCAGTGTTACTTATGTGTTTGCTGCAGAATGTCCGTAGTACAAGTCAGAAAATCCCAGGAGTGTCCCCTCTCCCTCCAAAAATAAAAAGTAAAAGCAAATGCAGAAGTGAACCTCAGTGGCCCTTTGGATAACTTTTGAATGAGGTTTATGTGGCAATGGAGGCAATAGGTTTGGAGTCAGTGATATGCTCTTAGACATTTTTCCTAACTCAGGTGCTACATGTTCTAGAATCAGCCATCTGCAGGATGTTTGTCATTGAGAGAAGAAAGGAGCAAGTGTGTATGCTTGTGAGAGAGCATGTGTGAGTGTGTCTCTGTGCAGCCCCTGCTGGGCACGCACGTTCACGAATGGGGAAGACCCGAGTGTACGGCTGCTTGGGCTTTTGTCCTCTCCATGAGCCCCAAGGCCTTTCATTATACTTTCTCTCTTCATGCATCAGCTTTTCCATTTTTGTTTGGAGGAAAATTATAGGTCCTTAAGACTGGTAAATTGAAGCTTCATCTGTTTCATAACTGGAAATAAGTAGAAAGTGAACAATTTGACCTCTTTCCCCATTAAGGTAGAAAATTATATCCTGGAAAGATGTGCAGAAGTTGCAAGGGTCAAATGTGTGGGGTGAGTTTCTCCAAGGCCAAGTGCAGAGTCTGGAGTTACTTCCTTTACCTGAGTGTCCCCTCTGGCACACTCTGGTTGGGTCAAGGCTCACCCAGATTCCCTTGTCCTCAGATCGGGGTGAGAAGGAAGTGGAGATTCATTTAAGAGAGTGCTTTCACCCAGAATTGCTTCTGAAGTCAAACTGTCCAGCTCCTTTTGATTCTGGATATCCTGACTACTGCCCTTTTCCTGTGAGTCGGGTCTGCCCAGTGTATCAGACACGTCTGACACAAGCCTCACTGTAACGTGTCTGAGCCACAGAGCAGCTGCCTCCTAGGGCAGGTCTCCTTCTGTGTCTTTCTTTTAGTCTCAGTCTCACATTCTTTGTAAGGTTTGCTATAGCTCAGTTTTTCCCTTTAAAACACTTTTATATCTAGGCTCTAAGCTGCATTCACGTTTTTCCTCAGTATTTTTAATTTTTCTTTCTCGTTCCTCCCCTTTCTCTAACATTATACTTTCATCCTGTGGCATCTGAGCCCCACTGCAGAAGGCTCTTCTCCTCCATGTGCCATATAACTGACTTCCAAAGCTGGTGAAATTTGATGCCCCCATTTTTCACATAAAAGATTTGTTTTTAAATGTTACTGTTATGCCAACCTACTAAAATGATGCTTTATTTTGGCTGTAAGGTAAAAATGTCTTTTGGCCTTTGTAAAGCTGTTGCATGTGGGATAATTTCCCTCTGATCATCTGGTGCTCTTGAATACCTGCTGTTGCTGCTTTGTGATTTCTCCATCGGTTAAAGATTAGCATAGAAATAGGAGCAGATTTCAAATCATGCTTGAGTATGCAGAAGTTTGTGAGGCCACAAGAACTCATTAATTATAAAACTAAGAAAGCAATTATTAATCTTTCCAGATTTGCCATGCCAATATTGGCAATAGCCATGAACAAGCTAAAGCCCCTTGTTCCAACTCCACTTGGAGCTGTCTTTCTGGGACCTCAGGCCTGCAGAGAATAATGTGCTTTGAATGTTGACAATCCGTGTTTCTCCTATAAAATGTGATTTGCCAAATGGAGAACCAATATGGATTTTTAGAATATTAATCAGTGGCATTGCCTTTGATCTTTAGCATTCATGGCAATTCATTCATGAAATCGCCTTCTGAATATCATTCTTCCTGTGACTTAGCCATCTTAATTTGGAGTGAAAAATATTATCAAAATATTAAAGCAATTTAATTTGTGGGCCTCTTCCAAAATGGTGCATGTTGACTGACTAATCTGGAAAAGGTTAATGATGATAATTGTAAGATTTTTTTAACCTGGAACTTTTATTGGATTATCAAACTTATTTGGAGTCCTTTCCGTTTCTTTTCTCTGTAGGTTTACCCAAGAGAATGGTTCTGTTACCCGTTATGAAATTCCCAACATATCCTGTTCCCCACTACTCATTCTTTTAGCAAATGACAGAAGCTAATTCCTATTGAACAATACAGTACGATACAGAATGTTAAAAACAAAGCCTTTTTATCCTGCTTTCTTCGAACACATACTTGATCAAAATTATTTGTAAAGAACATCTTTCCTACTTTTTGATTTTAACAAATGCAAATTTAGTTCTCTAAAACTTGAAAACAAACAAAAAAAAGAAACTAGTTCTGTGAAACGGTACCTCATTTCTGGAAAATAACTTATACCAGCCCTTCTGTTGTAGGGAAATAAGTCTAGCAGTTCAAAGTTTAAGAAGAGTATCAGATTATGTAAAATTAAATTTGTGAAGGATGTATAGTCTCAAACACTGATCACAAATAAACTGCTTTGTTGTACCCCAGAGTACTGCCTGGTTCCTGACATAGCCACTGATTCTAGCTGATTGACATGTATCTGCCCCTGGGCACTTTAAGTTGGGCTGTAGTAATTTTTTTTAATACAATAGACTTTTCATTTTACCTTGTAAATATTGAAGTGTGTAATTAAAGCCAATAAAATATGGGTTTGAATATTGTTTTAGCTTATTATTTTTTATATGTTTTGGTATAAAATTATAAGGAATTGAAAACTAATAATAACTTAGCCCTAGAAACCCATCCATTTGTAAGCAAACTGCTAAACTAAAACCAAGGTGGTGGTGAGTCCAAGCCAGTCTCCTTACTGTGTGAGCCCTTTGTGCCCTGTGTACAGGGGCTTCCCCATGATCCGGGTGCTTTCCCTGAGCATTGTTTATCAAAATGATGGCACCACCCAGAGATGGGCCAGGAGGAAGAGGATCATTTTAGTTTCAGAATTCCCAAGTTTAAAAAAATAATAAATTAATTGATCAGTCACCCTCTCTTGTTCTTGTGGCCTTCTTCACTCTGTAAGATACTGTGTTCACTCCCTGACTTTTCATGCAGATAGATCAGCAATTTTTCTGGGATTCATTGAAGGGTCTTCTTTTCCTCTTCAATTACATCAGAATCTAAAGCAGCAACAGGGTCCCCATAAAAACTTGCTCTTCGATTGTCCCAGTTCTTGTTGAGTGCTGCTGTGAAAAGTGACAGGTTTCAGCCATGGGTCAGCATTTATTTTTAAGACACCTGGTTAAGCTGGTGACAAATGATGATGGTATCATTGTGCTGTTCTGTAAAGGGTGCAGACTTAAGTCTTCCACTTGCATTCTCACCTTGTTTGGAAAGCCTATGATGTTACTATAAGGTAATGGTTTCATTAAGGTACTCACCCCCATGGAGGCAACAGTGTGGTCCCATGTTGCTATTTACAAGTTCCTGTGTCTTAAAAATGTCTGTTTTTAGTATGAAATAGCTTTCTTCTTCCCTCATAAATTCTGTTTTTCAGAGTGGAACACTGCCCATCAATGAGAATGGGCTTCACAAAATATGGCAAATTGATGTGCCAGATTCTTTGGGACCACTAAATGAGAGTGAAACGGCGATTTAAGACAAATGTTCGTGTCACTTCTCAGACACCTGTTTATTACAGTGGTTTGTTTGTTACTTCTGCTCCTTGACCTTTTGTCTTATTAGTGGTGGGTGATTCTTTAATAAAACCTCATCACTTGCTAGAAATAGCTGTGAACTTATCATTCTCATCCTACGCATTAGTGGCTAGACATAAACAGGAGGCCCATTTCGGCTGGGAGTTTTCATTTTTCATTGATTCGTTTTGCTGACCTATGGATGAAACAGAGCCATCACTGAAAGGAAAAGCATGGCTGATAAGTGTCCAATTTTTATTAAATATTTACAACAGTCCTCTTTGTTTTTGGAATACTATTAATTGGCAGCTGCAGCTGTATTGTCATTTGAAATTGATCATCAAATTTGCATTCCAAGTTGGAATCTCTCTGGAGATTTCTCTTTAGAAAATTCTTTAGAAGTAGCTGACTCAGCTTCATAGCTCGATCCCTGTATGATGGTGAAAAGGGAGCTGTGCTGTTTTCCAACATGATGGCAGTCATTTCAAATGGTTTCTACCAAGTCCTTTTTTTTTGTTTGTTTGTTGGAAGTTACTAACCATGTTGTAAACCTGCCCCGTTGCTGCAAACTTTTACATTTCTCTGCTTTACTTAAAATAACAGAGCTGTCAGTCCTTTGTTAGAAGTGGTAACCATTGCAAGTTCAACTGTTTAAATTTTGTAATGAATTAAGTGTCCCCCCTTCTTTTGCCCTTCCCACCCTTCCATTTTGTAATGAAAATTCCACTTACAGCTGAAAGAGCAGAGAAATATAAATGAAGCTCTTGGCTTCACCAAATTCTGTGAAATTAACATAGAGTTTTGCTTCTCTGCTCTTTTCTCCACTGTAGGTGGTTTTTTCATTGAAAGCCCCTATTGCCAGCCTCTGAGCGTCGCACCATTTATTATTCACTTGGGCCCTCAAGATTTCTTCTCTGACTTCTAGAACCATCAGGTTGTCTGGCTTGAAATGGCAATTTCTATGTCTTGGTCTTAAGAGCAATGTGACCCATGAGGCTTTCCAGCTCTCAGACACACCACTCTGGTACCTTCTTTTGGAAAGCAATGACTGAACATTTTAAAGAAGAGCAATACTTTACTCAAAGCCACGGTGTCTGTCCTAAAACTTTCTTTGGAAACCTAGCAATATCTGTACTTGACTCCTCCTAGTGTAGTCTCTTGTCAGGGAGTTTACAAACCAATATAGAATTTAGAATTAGTGTGTGAGCTGTGCTATATCTTCTGACCGTTTTTAAACTTTTTTAGCATATAAATTGGGTAGTTGCATTCCTGACTGTGTCAGTTAGTGCTATCATAATTTCTCAGAGATAGGGGTTCTTGAAGCCATATTCTTTGCATGGAGGCTGGTGCCCAGCCCTGGATGTGGCCTGTAGCCTGTGCTCCTTCAGGCTCAGGAGCACCCCATCTCCTGTGCAAGGAAATGGTCCAGTGGTTTCCCACATAACCTCACGCAGACTTGCTGCCGTGCCTGGTGCAGTGCAGTGCGGAGTCCTGAGGTCATCTGTGGTCCTCTCCATCTGTTAGCCCAGGGGACACAACCTGACAGATTGTCCTGGTATTAACCTTTTCTTCTTTTTTAAATTTGGGTGGATGTTTGAAAATAATAAATCAGTCAGTCACCATTATTAATTGAAGAGCTGGGAATACCTCGTTAATGTATTTTTAAAACTGGTGTTGGACCCTCTGTGTATTTCAGGTTAATACTTTTAAGCAGTTTTCAGCACGTTTATCTCACTTTATTCTCGTTCTCCTCGGACCTTCGTAGCCATATCACTTATATAAAATAGGCTGAGATATAGTGACTGTAAGCTGTGCTCTCAGTATACAAAGGTAAGCTCTTTTATTTTCTGATTAAAGAGAAAAGTAATTAAAAATGGACGAACCCAATATGCATGCATATATTACAATCATATATGATGTATATGATCTCTTAGGTCTTATAGCATCACATTTCCTTTTAAAAAATTGTATGATCTAAATGTAAAATAATTATTTTCAGCGTTTGTTTTAATACCCTTGTTTTACTTTCTATTCAAGAGACATTTCACTTTTGCTAAGTGTATGAGTGTAGAAACTTAAAATATAGCATATGTGAATTATACACACATACCTGTTTAAAGAAAAGAATTTGGTGGTAGAGTTCACCTAAGAAGATTTTAACATCAGGGCACTTTTGGCCAAAGTGCTGGAATTTCAAAAGCAGCAAGGTTGGCAACAGTGCCGGCAGGATGCATTTATATGTAGCTGTTCACGAGCTGAGGATTGAAGTGCCAATTTCTCAAGGAGAAAAACTCCTCTGAGAAATGAAAATCTCTGATCTATGTTGAATGCCCTAATACATTGTTTCCCAAACTTTTGACATATGTGTAACCCTTCTATAATTTTCGTAACGCTGAGTACCCCTCGTACTCATGAGAACATAGAATTAGGTGCAGCTACGCACGGTGCAGTGAATATCCCCACCAAACACCGGTGCAACGCGTATCCCCACCAAACTCTTCCCGTGCCCCTGGGGGTACGCGTACCACACTTTGGGAAACACTGTATTAGTAATACAACAGCAGCAAGAAGCCATAAAAAAAAGCAATAGAAAATGAAAAAAACCAAAAAATTAAGGTAACTATGAGAAAATATGTAATTGACTGAGTTAAGCTAACTATCTGCAGACCCAAGTTTGGTAAGACTCAAAATGTTAACACCCATTGTCCAAATAGATGTAAGGCAACTCACCTGTCTTTCTAGGTTAAGTAGCTAGATGATTTATTTCCTGCCTCATTCAACCAACCATCATGCAGTTCATTTAAAATATCAGAGGGTTAGGCCAAATATTTTAATAAGGGTTTGCTTCATTTAGTGTGTCCCATATATGCATTTCACATGTGTCAGATGTTCTGTGCTAAGGGTATGTTTTTATATATAGATTAAAATGAATTTTGTGTTTCATATTTGTCTCTAAGTAGCAGTTTTCTTTTTATTACTAACGTGAAGGTTGCTAGAACAACTTCCTTTTCCATACAGAACCTGCATGCCTGTTGAATGTAGCTTTCGCATCTATAAAAGGTTGTATGAATACAGGTCTAGCTGACTGCTCAAGCAGCCGGGTGCCCATCACATGGCAGGTCCTTCTCTGGATATCAGCAAACAGCCCTACCCAGTGGAAGTGCTTTAAGCCTCCTCGTTGATGGATTGGGCCTATTATAGATACCCTAGCTTGGGAGGCAAATCATACACTAGGAATCTCAAAAGATTATTAACTTATTTAACAGTTTATTTATGAACTAGAGGCCCAGTGCACTAATTCATGCATCAGTGGGGTCTCTCAGCCTGGCCTGCAGGATCAGGCCCAAACTGGCTCTCTGACATCCTCCGAGGGGTCCCAGATTGTGATAGGGCACAGGCCAGGTGGAGGAAACCCATTGGTGGACGATTGGGGCCAGGGAGGGATACGGGAGGTTGGCCAGCCAGGGAGGAACCATGGGCATGTCCAGCCTGTCTCGCTTAGTCTTGATCATTTGGACCCCAGCAGCAAGCTAAACTACCGGTCAACTGTCTGCCCCCTGGTGGTCAGTGCACGTCATAGCAAGTGGTTGAATTGCCTTAGCATTCATTAGCATATTGTGCTTTGGTTGAATGGATGACTGGACACTTAGCATATTAGGCTTTTATTATATAGGATTAATTATATGGGCCCTCTGACATCACAAAAATGAGCATCCAATGGAAATTCACTCATTTTAAATATTTCCAAGTAAGGGAACTGAATGAAATGAATGATGAATACCCCAGTCATTTTATTTTATTTTATTTAAACAATGATATTTTGTTCCACTTATTTATGCTTTCATTGGTTGATTCTTTTTTTTTTTTTAATTTTTTATTGATTTTTCACAGAGAGGAAGAGAGAGGGATAGTGAGTTAGAAACATCGATGAGAGAGAATCATCGATCAGCTGCCTCCTGCACACACACCCCCCCCCCCCCTCCCCGGGGATGTGCCCGCAGCCAAGGTACATGCCCTTGCCCGGAATCGAACCCGAGACCTTTCAGTCCGCAGGCCTATGCTCTATCCACTGAGTCAAACCGGTCCCGGCTACCCCAGTCCTTTTAAAGCAATTTTTATAATAGCAAATAACAAACTGGCTAATTCAAGTACCACATATTTTCCTTATGATAAACGAGGGGAATTTTACCCTTCTAACTATTCATGATTACTCCCCTGTTTCTTGGATCTTATTAATAACTGCAGTGGATCTAAATTTTCAGTGGTGAGTCAAGGGAATGAACTAGGGAGATTCCCCGTACCCCATTTCTAGCAGTTAGAATTCTAGCAATCTAGAGCTCTAAAAACCAGGGCTATTAAGAATAGTTATAGCTAAAAACAGCCTGCTCTCTGAATGGTCGTCCTATTAACTGCCATTGAGCTCAACCCTGTACCTCCTTGCTGTGGTGGGGGGTGTGGCTCTCTATGGTCACCAGAACAAGAGGGGTTCTGTTTTATTCAGACCGGTACTGATGCCATGCCACCCGGTGACCATGGATTTCTCAGTGTTACCAGGAGGCCTGGAAGGGAAATGGGTGGTAAATGAATAAGAACCCGGAGCCAAGAAATTATCTCCCGTGGAGGTGAGTTTCTGTGTTGATGTGTCTCTCTAGTGCTTATGTACAGAGCATAGAACTAGTACTACTACTTTTTAAAAAATATATATTTTATCGATTTTTTTACAGAGAGAAAGGGAGAGAGATAGAAACATCGTGGAGAGAGAAACATCAATCAGCTGCTCCTGCACACTCCATACTGGGGATGTGCCCGCAATCAGGGTACATGCCCTTGACCAGAATCGAACCTGGGACCTTTCAGTCTGCAGGCTGACGCTGTATCCACTGAACCAAACCGGTTTCGGCAGAACTAGTACTTCTTATATAAGAATGAGTCCCTTCCTTTCCAATAGCATCTTCCAGAAAGGCAGTTTTAAGTCAAGAATTTGAGTTGAGTTAGTTTTAAGAATAGATATCCTTTCTCACATTATCATTTTAGGTAGGAGCTAACAGCTTCCATTGATGCTTGAAGCAGTCATCTTTGGGGATTTTAAAAATAGCATCATAATGCAAATTAGGTTATGTAAGCTTTACAGCACAGCTAGAAATAGGGAATAGAAACCTTGTGGGAATCTGGACCAAAGAATTTCTCTCCCTCCAGCAAATTGTTATGGGGCTTGGGAATTAGTTAATACACTGAAGTGCTTTGAGTAGTACCTGGCACATAGTTAGTACTCAGGAACTGTGAACTGTCCTTCCCATGGTTGGCTGAGGTGACAGAGTATGTGAGGGAGGTGAGGCTGTGCTGGCAGGTAGCTGAGAAGCAGGTGTATGGCCTGCTCAAGGGGAAGCTGCGTTGGTTCCTTAGTGCTGACAGGATTGGGGTGCGCCCAGGCTTTGGGAGAGGCCTATCCTAGCATCTGGGGGGTAGACAGGAAACACAAAACACACACTTAGTGAGAGCTAGCGTGTGGGGGGGTCACTGCAGATCTGTGCTGAATGGAAAGACTCACTTGTCTGCTGTGGTGGAGAAATCACTGGCCAGTCTATTGCCGAGGTTCATAAATACTTGCTGTTGGATTTAAGTGTGCTGACAGAGGCTGAGCTTAGAATATCAACCTGCTGATTCCAGGTTCTTACTGGTGGTGATCAGTAAGAAGAAGAAGAAAAAAAAGAGTTTGTTTGATTACCACTAGCCCCTGAATCCAGTGTTCAGAGTCACCAGTGCCTGGCAGGTAGAAAGCCAAACATAAACTGCAGAAAAGAAAGTCGGGTGGCATGCTCAGGCTGTTAACTCAGATGCCTCTCTGAATAGCATTCCTGAAGCTTCTCTTTGTTTCAACACTTTGGAAGGGGGAAAAATTCTGTAATCATTACATCAGGCCTTCCTTCTGTGTGTCAATTTTAGAAGCAAACCCATTCATCTGTCTGTCCAGGGAGTTGGCAAGTTGCATTTCAGCAAAAGGAAAAATGGGTAGAAATGGGTAGATGATGATACTATTGGATTGAGGAAAGGATGTGTGTCTTTCTGTCCATTTCTGGCCAGCATGTATCTATGGATTCCAGGAGCCTTTGAGGAAAGTTGAGTGGATGTGTCCCTGTTTGCTGGCAGATGAGTTAAGAGAATACAGATTGAGTTCTGAGATGCTCTAAGTTATAAAAACTGTGTGCACAAGGACTGGGTGTGACCTTTAAAGGCAAATAAGATAGATTTGCTTTCTGTTCATATAGGATTTTCTTAAACCCGAGATATTTGTATAACTAATGACCTGGTAGAAGTTAACTCCTTTCCTCAGCTGTGGCTGTTTGGTGGCATCATTGCCTCATGGAGCCAAGATTGAGGGTAGGCATCTTTTTTGCCTAGACCAATCAGTTGTCTGTATGTTAATTACTTAGTTCTTCTAAGGAGGGTCTTGGTCTTTCTTGGCAGAACATTGCCATTTCTACAAACTGCTGCTTCTGCTGGTGGGTAGCATGGAGATGGCCACCAGCTGCCAGGGCAGTTTAAGCATCTGAGTAGCATATCCTGGCTGGAGATGCAATGCAGAGTCCCAACTCATCCTTTTTGCTGCAGGATTAGCTTGGCTGCTGTGAGGACATTCTCTTATCACCACCTAGGAGCTCCGTCTCTCTGCTTTGTTCTAGTCTCTCCTATTTTGATCCTTTTGTGTGATTTGGATGAGTTGTCTCCGTAGTCAAATGTCAGCTAAATGTCCCAGGTAAATAAATTAACAGCCTTCAGATTAGGTCATTTTGGGCTGTGGGCAACAGTAGTTTAAAGAAGCAGGAATGGAAGAAAGACCAAAGAAACATGCTAAAGTTGGTATACAGTAAACCCTCAATCTAATGGACTTCAGACTTAATGGATTCAATTTCCAGTCTGTATGTTAATTTAAAAATAATTTTAACCATCATTTGCTTTTAATTAACGTTTTTTTTTTGTTTGTTATTAATTCACTTATTTTTAACAAAATTTAGCAAATAGGCCAAATGTTGGAAAAACCACTGTAGTAATTTTGCTGTCATAAATATTACATGTTTACAACTATAGTTTACATAGTTAAATCCAACTCACCGCTCGTTTGGGCGAATGATTACACCTTCCCGTTCAAGGTAACTGGTTCTGGATATGACTTTCTGCAGCAGTTTTAAGGTCTGCCAGATGATGTGCCCACGCCCCGCCGTGTGCATTTGTTTACTCGCGGTGTCTGGTGAATGCATGCCTTTACTACACCTACTCAGTGTTAAATTCAAAATTACAGTAATATAGAAGACTTCTGTGAAATTAAAATTGTTCATGCATATTTAATTTTTATTACACACATTTGTACATGAGTAAAAACAGATAAACCAAGTTTGTCAAATTTTTAACATACACATTCAGAAAACTTATTATATAATGGGTTATCAGCTTTAATGGAACACCCCTTGCTTGACTTAGTTCATTATATTGAAGCTTTACTGTACTGTGTTTGCCAGGCACTGGAAATTCTTAATTCTCAGGCAACCTTCAGGAGGGGTTATTACCTCTATTTTACAGATGAACAGAATGAGGCTGAGTTGAACGCTGGAGTCAGGAATGAAACCCAGCTCCCTTCAGTGCCAAAGCCTCTCTCCACTACACATGCTATGGCTTCAAAGTCTGGGGATGAAGGTGGGCAGCCGGTCAGGAGACAGGAAGGAGGTATGCGCAGTGGGCAAGGCCCAGAGGAGCTGGAAGGGCCTGAGCAACCAGCCGGGGCCTTGCAGGGTGTTTAGAAGCCACCTTAGTCTCCTGGGCTGGAATATAGGCGGTCCTGATCCATTTTAGACAAAATATCCTGTTGAAAATAGAGCTGTTTTCTTTCTGACCAACTGAAAAAGATTATTTAACTAGCAAGATAGACTTGAAGACTAAGTTTATATGGCTTTATAAACTGAGGAAGCTTTTGTATTGGCAGCTTGTTTTTATTTGAAGATCAATGAGAATTGAGGTATGTTTCCGTTTAGCTAATTAGTGCTTTCTGAGTACACTGTGTGGCCCGAGGTTGGTGATGGGGAAGTGTTAAAAGATTTGAGCCAGACTCTGAAGGCAGGCTGGCGAGGCTTTGACTCATTGTGTCTCAGGAAGAGGGGCATGGTGGGTGGTAGCCAGGTTTGGGAGGGAAGTGTAGGAAGGTGCTGGAGCCAGTGCTAAGCGCAGACTGCAATGGTTTGTTGTGATAAGAGGGGTCTCCCCTGGCCTAGGCTTCGGGGAAGCTGCCAGCCTGAGGTGAGAAGGCTTCGCTCTAGGTTAACCGTGCTGGAGGAGCCCTGCTGGGTGGACGGACAACCATAGGTCTTTGAGTGGCTGTGTGAGTACAAACCCCTTCACCAGCACCTTTGCTAATGAATGCCAACTGGGCCTCTGCTGGGGCTTAGTGGCTGTGGAATGGATGCAGAATTCTCATTAGGGTAAGATATTCCTCCCTCACCCCAAGTTGTCAACATCCTCGGCAACCGGCCTTTTTTTCTGATTATCTGCCGTTTCCTGGAGGGGAACAAGAGTAAGGAACTTGCTTTTAAACTAAGGTTGTAGGAGGTCTAGAGCAGGGACCTGTGTTGAGGGCGACTGAGTGCCTGCCAGTGTAGGGGACAATTAGCAAAGCTCTCCCCGTCACCACTGCCTTCCCTCGATCTGGAGAAGGAGCAATACATACATAGGCCATTCCCACTGCACAAACAGAAGCCCAAAGACTTCCAAACCACCTAGCTTGTTTGTGGCACATTTTGTGGCTCCTAATTAGTAAGTTTTTAACCACACAGAAGAAATAACATTCTTCTACTGTTCTTGGAGTTAACAGAAGCACTTTCTTAGTGATGAGATTTGAATTCCATCACAGTTGTGGGATCTAGAAATTTTTTTTTTTTACATATGAGGAAATGGAGGCTTAGACAAAACAACTTGCCCCAAATTATCCGGCTAGTAAGTGGCCAGGCCCTCCCATTGTGACTGCTCTGTGCCAATACTGTGGTGTGCTTTACTGGTACAGACTGCAGCCTCTCCCGATTCCCAAGACCCCTCGGCAAGTCTCCTCTCCCGGGATGTACTACTTACCTTCTTGTTTAAGACAAAACAAGCAAAAGCCAACTCACTTCTCGCCTCTGCCACCCCTTGTGGGGAAAAAGAATCCGGACGCCAGGCTCAGCTATGTGTCTGCTTGATCGTGGACTGGTCGGCCCAGGGCCAAGCGGCCTGTGTGGGGGTCTGTTTTGGTGCCAGCCGCACAGTTGGGTCTGCTTCCACAGACCGCCTTTTTGTGCTGTAACTGAGCCCTGTAAGAAAGTGCAAACCAGTACCTGCCACTGGAGAGCCCAGGGCTGGAACGGCAGAGGGATATTCTGCTGGAGGGAGTTTGCTTTCTTGTTTCGGCTTTCTCCAGTTCTGTTGGCTGACATTTGTTCCTTCCTGGCTAGGTTTTTTTTTTTTTTTTTTTTTTTTTTTTTTTTTTTTTTTTTTTTAAATATATTTTTATTGATTTTTTTACGGAGAGGAAGGGCGAGAGCTAGAAACGTCCATGAGAGAGAAACATCGACCAGCTGCCTCTTGCACACCCCCTACCGGGGATGTGCCCGCAACCAATGTACATGCCCTTGACCGGAATTGAACCCGGACCTTTCAGTCTGCAGGCCGACGCTCTACCACTGAGCCAAACCGGTTTCTTATGTGTGTGCACTAACTAAAAAGGCCACGTCCACAGGGACACGCTTCCCAAGCACTCTGATGCTGGGCTCTCCTTGGACCCTTCCATCATAGAGTGTCAGAGACTGCTCAGCTTGCCTCTTTCCCGCGTGCCCGTGGAGGCCATCTGAATACAGGGGAGGTCATCTGGGAGGAGGCGCCTGGGGAACTCAGGAAGGCTGACTGAGCTAGTCTCTCCTATGAGGGCGGACACGGCTACCTTGGGAGCAGGTGTGGTGAGCACACTCCATGTTACCAGAGTGTTTAAGCAAGAAGCCAGTTGTTTGGCACAGAGGAATTTCTCCCATGGAATGTCAGTTTGGACATTGACAAGAGCACGCCTCTCCTCTTGGGCAGGTGGGTTTGTTGGGAAACGTTCACTGTCACCTAATACTGTGTATCAGGCTCTGTCTTGGGGGAAAAGGAACTGAGAAAATACCAAGATTTTCAGTTTAGACCACTGAGTAGGTGAGAGCACAGGATGGGGACGGTGTGCAGGGCTCCCTCAGACCTGGAGAGGAGCCAGACCTGTGGAGAGATTGACACACAGGAAGAGTCAGAGAAGCTCTGTCACATGGTGAGGTTTCAGGAAGACAGGCATGGCCTTCTGCGACAGCATGAAAGTCCTTGTTAATGGAAGGCGCCAGGTTAGGATTAAGTAGCAATGGGATGTAGGGCCTCTTGGTGAAAGGCCCTGGCTATGCCCTTCAGTGATTACCATCTTCCCAAATGGTGAGAGGTCTGGAGGGTCGATTGGGAAGTAGAGGCAGGAGGCAGACGCTATTGCAGATGCCCTGGTGAGGGATGGAGGCGGCTGCCTGAGGGCCACAGAGGATGGCAGAGGCAAAAATGTGTCTTCACAGGCCACGTTCTCTCCTAGTCCGAGCAGGAAGACAGGCTTGGCAGCACTCAGCCCAGGGCCAGGGCACCATGGCCAGGGAAGCAGGCGCCTGCCCAAGTATTTCTCCAGGGCCACTGTCATTTGGGGACTGGACCCAAGCTGGTGAAGGTGAGGCAGAAGGTGCTGACAAGGCAGAAGGGAGTGCGGGGAGGAGCTGGAACGTAGGAAGGGCCATCTCCATTGGGCCAGGAGTTGGTGGTGCCTGGGCCCCACTCTCAGGTGGGGTGCTCTCTTGGAAGTGTATCTTTTGGCAACGCGTATACGGGTGTGCAGGCTGGTCAGTCAGCATCTTACTCCTTCCCTGAGCTGCTGCTCTCCTGGGCTCACCAGTCCAAGGCAATGAAAAGTACTGGGCATTTGTTCATTCAGAGACCTTGTGCTTTTTAAAAAGTGACGTTTTTTGTTTCTTTACTGGGACAAGGGCTGGAGCTCATGTAATTCAACATCTGTAGGACATGGTCTTCAGCCAATGGGAAGGTGTCAACTTGCTTTACAGAGTGCTTTGAGGAGGGGAAGAATGTGAAATTGTAGTTACTGGAGTGTTGCTTTTGGCCTCAGGTCTGTGTCGAGTTCATCCTGGACAGATGTTTACTCCCCTGGGCCACATGCTGTCATCTCTGCTTTTAGTGTCTCAATTTGGAAATATATGGGAACGCTGCTTTAGACATGGTTTTGGAAAACTTTTTCTATAAAGGGCCAGGCAATAGACCTGAGGCTTGTGAACCATATACAGTTCGATCTTTGTAACAAACAAGCCTGGCTGTGGTCCCGCAAGTCCTACTCTCACACAGGCACTGGTTGCATTTGGCCAGCCCTTAACACTGTAGACACGTTTGGCTTAATCCTGACAGGGAACCTCCTGCCTTCTGCTGGGACTTACCCAGCTTCCCCTGAAGGCTTCCTGAACACCTGATCTGAATGCGCGCACTGCGGACGCGGAGGGGAGTCTTTGCCCTGAAAATCGTAGGTTTTAGGTGAGAGGTGGGCACTGACAGGTCCAGAGAGAAGGGCTGAGTCAGGAAATCAGTCCAGTCATGGCACATTGGTACAGCCTGTGAAGGGCCAAGTGCTGGGCTTCATTCTGCAGGTGGTGGGAGCCGGTCTGAAAAGTTGTGCTCAGGACCGTAAAGTAGTCACAGATGCATTTTTGAAACATCGTCCTGGTAGTGGTCTCCAATGTCATCTTTCAGTTTAGTATGGCTTTTCAGCCCAGGGTTTGGCTACTGTTGGCACCAGAGCAGGGCGGTCCTGGCCACGGGCTTTAGTGCCACACTTTTCAACAGGCAGAGTTTGACAGAACCTTCCACCCGCAGCGCTCTCTCCTGCTAAAGACCATTTAATGGCCAAGGCAAATGAAACCTCAGTGCCATGGTGTGTGGGAAAAATACCTAGGGAAGCCCATCCTTTGCTTCAGATCGAGTCGTGTCAAATAAGCTTCAAGCAGCCGATTTGCATCCTCTGTGCGTGTAGCTAGGCCTGCCACCAGCACACAGAGGGATGGTGTCTGCACCCTGGGAGACCTACAAACTGCTGCGGCAAGGTGCGTGTGTGCAGGCTGAAGCAGGTGCTGCTCAGGAGCATCACAGAGGCTGAGGCACACCAGACATGGTGCTCACCGTAGTTGGGGTGGCAGAGAAAACCCTAATATATAGTGCTCTACTCCCAAGTATTCTCCCTCGGAGAGGTTTCTAGGCAAGTAAATCAAGCTGCCACCATTATCCTTTAATGGGAACTGGAATTGGGGGGCATGGAGGAAGTGCTTCGTGTGCAGTGACAGAGCTGTCATGAAAGGAGACCCAATAGCAGTGCCTGCAGATTGTTTTATTGAATCCTCCACAGGCCATGGCAGTTGGTGAGGAGCCTCGGAGGGAGTGGCTGTGCCAGCTCCATGCAGGGCTCTCCCAGCGCAGCCTGCAGACATACTGGTCCTCTGGCCAATCAGGTACACTCGTCAGTGGGTAGGAAACCACTGAATACTTGGGGAACTGGATACTGCCTGCTGAGTGCAGGAATGCTCGTCTTTGGGGATGTGCCCTTGAATTGTGTGCCTGGTCTTGTCTCTGACAGTGGGCGGGTCACTTCTCAATTCTGAGGAGCACACCTCCTTGTCCTGCTTAGGGAGACAGATGGTGGTCAGACTGTCTTTTTTTTTTCCTGCCGAAATATGTCTGCTGATCGGAGAAGTCAGGTTTGTTTGTCCATGGAAGTGAATTTAGGGCGTAGCAGTTTAGAAATATGCAGCCTCTTTCCTCTTGGGTTCCTGTTGCCACCAACACCCCTCGGACTTAAGCCAAGCACTTTGGTGGGTCAGTAGCAAGACACCCTGATCCAGCCATGTTCGTTCATGCCTTGGCACAGCTGGGTTGTCACTCTCTTAAGATCACCCCGCTGTGACCCACACACAGGCTATGATTTGGAACTTAGTTCCAAAGGCTCTCTTCTCTCACCTGACAAGCCACCACTAGACACATCCCTTTCCCTGGCCATGAAGGCTTGCACCCCAGCTCTGTGTAAGGGACACTGGTTTGTCAGCAAGGCACCCTGCCATAGCTCTGTGGGAGGTGGCTTAGCTACCAGTTACTACCAGCTTTTCCTGGACAGGAAGACTCATTTGTAGAAACTGGGGAGCCAAATTGCAGGCATCCTCAAAGCCTCTAATCAAGGGTCCTTCCTTTCTGATCTCCCCAGAATCCAGGCTGTCTTGTCTCTCCAATCTCCAGACAGACTTCCTTTCCAGGGGCTTGAGGTGGGAATCTCCCCCTGCCTTTGTCTTTCTTCTGAGTCATGAGCCACCTTCCTTGGTAGATTTCAGCCCTTAGCAGCATTCACGGTTTTCTCTGAACTTGGGCCTTGCGCCAGGGGCCATCCGTTGACCTGCCGTGCTAAACCTTTGGTCTCTGTAAGGGGCTGGTTGGGCCCCAGCTACATCTTGAGGAGAAGCCCTAATTAGCGGGGAGGGCACTTTCAGGAAGAGTGGGGCTGACCTTGGTCCAGCCTGTCGGCCTACGCATCCTGGTCTGGCCTCTAAGACTCGCTGCTTGCCCACTCCATGCAGAACTCCTTGGGGAAAAAGCAGCCAGTCTAGACCTGATGGCCTGGGCTGTCCTAGAAGAGGCTTGCTTGCCTCACAAGGGAGTAAGGGGGCCCTGCTCAGCCCCAGGGGTGGGGGTGTTGGAGGCATGGAAAAGACTGAGCAGCTCCCCATACGACACTGGGCTGGGATGCAGCTTACTCGTCTGGTGGTGGCCAAGGTAATTTTAGAAATCTTAAAATATCTATTGTTTTGTTTATTTTTCCTGAATACGCAAGTGTAAATAGAATTTGCAGTGCAAAGCCCTTGGTAATAACTTTGTTGTGTAGTATGTTAAAAACTGCAAATCGCAAGCACCACGGACTCTTTCCCCTTGGGGCTTTGGTTACATGTAGGACTCTGAACTTGAACTCTTCGGCACAGTTGAAGCAGCAGCTTTCGGGTGTGGACTGTCACCAGTGCCTCGTCCAGAGATGCCTGCCCTTCATCCACAGGGACTCTCTGCCACCTGGCGCCCACGGGCAGTGCCCACTGACTGTGTTGGACTCTGCATAGACTGACCCTCTTGCCTGGCTACTGCAGTCTGCCTGGAATGCCCCGACATGTTGCATTTCCCCTATTTGGATGAATAAAAATAAAAGCTTCTGTCTAAGCAGGGCCTTCTCTGGTTAATGAAGGTGCTTTGATAAAAAAAAAAAGGGTCAATTTCCTAGGACTCTGGCAAGATCTTCCTGTTCATGGTGCTGAGATTGTGGGAAATTTTTGCACCATTAGCAAACTGAGTGGTGAGTTATGGACGATGAATCCTAAACCTCAGCACACACCTTGCTTAAACCTCATATAGGATTGGGATATGCCCAAGGGAGTCGAGCAATCGGAAAGCAAAGCGGAAGCTCTTCCTGCTACTGCCCCAGGTAAGCCAAGAGCTGTGTGGACAGAGGTACTGGGTGTTCCTGCTTCATCTTATAAACTCAAGGCCTGCCTTCTCCCCCGGCACACCATCGGTTTGGATCTACAACCATGCCAGAACTGAAAGATGGAGGTGATGGTACCTGGTAGAAAGGTTGAAATCCCAGCTCTCGTGATCATAGGCAAGCCTTTAACCTTTACTTTCAAATCTGTGAATAATGTTACTTAACTCGGGGCAGAGCTTAACAGGAGTTGGGCACTGAGCCCACAGCAGAGATAAGGAGTTCAGTGCGGTGTGCTAGCTGGAGTGAAGTGCTGAGAGCTTATGCCTCCTGCTGCCCACTGGGAGTTAAGAGGCGTGGTTCCATCCTAGCCGTGTTGCCTGCGCCAGGAACCTCTCTAAGGGCCCAGTGCCTTCACCTATAAAATAGGGAAGGATAGAGAGCTCAGTGCCGCAGCCACTGTGTGGTCCTGATCCTTGTGTCGTCTTCCTCTCCTCTGCCCTTCCCCTATCCCAGGTGACTCAGATCTGTCCAAACGAAGCATTATAACCCACACGTCCATTACACACATGACCGTATAGGGTTCCAAGGGCCAAGCAACTCCTCTGGGCCCATGTCCCTCCCATACTAGTACTCCCCTCAGTGCAGACTCTGGTTTTCACCACTGTGGGGTTCAGAGCTGGGAGTGGGTCTTTCTCTCCCACACGCCCTCTCTGCTCACTCGTGTCACTGGGACAGTAGATGGGGCAGCAGCACTCATGGGAGACTTTAAGGCAAATGCCGCTTATCTTTCATTCTGAGCTGCCCCACGAGTTATTAACGAGATGTCCTTCGGCAGGGCCCACTGGATATCCACTCAGCCTGTCACGTATTTTCACTTACCTTGATCACAGTCAAGGAAGAACCATGGTCACAGAACCAGGATCTGAGTTTACTAGCATGAAACCTATGGTCTTTCTACCACAATCCCTTCCAACTAACCACCTTTACCCCACTCTGCTTCACAGCCAGGCTTTTTGCAATCTACACTCCCTTCTCTGCTCCCTCCACCCCGCCCAGCACCCCACCCTAAGCATCAGGGACTCCCCTGTCATCCCAGCCCTGCCATCACTCCCAGAGCTTGCTAGTTTTTAAGGCCCACAGCTATTTCCCTGCTCCGTGTCCTTTCTCTTCCCCCTTGACCCTAATCCTGCCCTTGCTTAACTGGGACATCCCCTGGGCACTCTCCACCCTCCTAGCTTCACCTTACCTGCCAGAAGATTCTCAACCAAGGAACTCCTCCCCTACCTGGGTGCATTTGGCAGTATCTGTGACAAGTGGTGGTGGTGGGTGTGCTATTGGTATCTAGTGAGTAGAGCCAGGGGTGCTGCTCGACTTCCTGTGACGCACAGGTCAGCCCCCAACAAAGAACTGCCCACACAGCTCTGATGTGCCGATTCCGGAAACCGCCCAGGCGAGCGCCAATCCATAAATTAAAAGCTCATCTTCCTGGGGTTTCCTCCCCCTTTCTCAGGACTTCCCTATTCTATCAACTGTCTTCAGACTAAATTTCTTGTGACCATTTCCTCCTAAAGCAGGGATGGGGAACATCTGGCCCGGAGCCTCTAAGGCCCATGGAATCACTTGGTCTGGCCCTGCGGAGGATTAAATAAATGTTTAATATAGCAGGCTAATGTCTAAGTTATGTATAAGTTGATAATTTTGTATGGCCCTCAAATGATGCTATAAATACCCAAATGGTCCTTGGCAGAGATTCTCATCTCTGTCTAAACAGGGAACTTATCAAAGATTTTTAAAGGAAGTTGGCTTAAAACTCTCCAGTAATTATCCTTCTAACATCAGACTGGACCTACCTGCTGGCCCAGCCTCACCTCCCATCATGCTGCCTTCATCAGACCACAGTGCTAAACACTGTCTTCCTGCTCCAGAGTCCAGCACTTCCCCTCGCTGTCACTGCAGGAAGCTCTCCTTGCCAGGGCACACACCCTCCCTGTTCTTACAGCTCCAGCACCTAGTGTACAGTAACAAGGGGACCTCCCTGGAAGCAGGTCCCCTTCTGAAGCATTTAGGCCCGTATGCCGGGCAGACTGGTGTTTGGACTTCTTTGTCTGGGCCAGGGCACAGCTGCGGAGGTGAGGATTGCGAATGAATCCCTAATTCCTGGTCACTGAGACCCTTGGGAACGGAAAAGCCTAGAAAAGGCTGTCCTGGACTCTTGCCCATGGTGGCCAGGAGTGTGGATGTCAGAAATACACCCACCAGCCTGTGAGAGGCAAAGGGAAACCATATGCTCTGGAGGCCCTGTCATGGCCCAGGCCCTTGCCCACTTCAGAGGGGGCTCACTCACCACCTTCCCTTCTTTGTGGCCTGTATCTCAACTCACTTCCTCCAAAGCCTGGGTAAAGCTGAGGTCCTGGAGGCAGGCAGAGACGCAGAGGGGAGCACTGTTCTTCTTCCTGCTGCAGAGAAGGGTGGGTGGTAAGGACGCAGGGTCTGGGAGCCTCAGGCTCCCAGTGAACAGAAAGCAACTTTTTCAAGCTGGCTCTGTCCACGCCACCACTTCTGAGTTTTAGCAAAGCAGACCTGGACTCCAGGTAATCTGCCTACCTTTCTGCTCCTCGGCATCGCTCCAGCACATTCCCATTCTGTGTGGGAATTCACTCTTCCATCTCAGCCTGAGTGAGGTGCTTTTGTCTTTATGTCTTAATTACACCCTCTGATTTCCCTAAACCTCAAACATTCAAACAGTGCCTCGCCTGTTCCTCAGGGGCAGGAAGGCCATAGGCACCAGCAGGAAGGCCATAGGCACCAGCCTTCCAGAAGACGGAGCCTGTGTCTTCTCACCCCAGGCCTGGCACTCAGCTGCTTACAAAGGGTCTGAATGGAGCTGGCCGAGGCTTACACACCGTATTTGACCTCTCTGACAGTGGGGAGTAGGGGTGCTGCACAGGATTAAACTGGTTTTTACAAAGCAATGCTGTTTGTACCAAAATATTTAATGAATATGCTGTTAAAATAAAACCAACAGAAGAAATAGTAATACAATTTTACTGGTTTATATTGCAATTCATAAAGTTAACACACTAAAACTACCCTAACACAATGTCCACACACCTAGATTTAGACGGGCTTACAGCGGATTTGGTAACTGAACAAGAAAGACACAAAGTGGTGGGGGGGATGGTGTGGGGAGGAGGGGTTACCACTTGTTACCTCCTCGTTAACACAGATGACCTCAGCACGTGTCAGTACAGCCAACGGGAAAAATACAAAACAACCCAAGTGTCTATATACAAACCAGCGCCTCTTGTAACCAGCTACCTCCAACCACGCAGAGAGGACGACGAACCATCTGCAAGACAGCCTGTCGGCACATCACTATATAAGTTAAAGTCTGTTTTGTTTTTTAAAAAAGGTGCTAAAACCTCATACCATAGAGTTTTGAAGCGGAAACTTGCAGCCCATTTAAACTGAGGTTTTCACCCAACCACACTCCAGGAGGAATGCAGCAGGGAGGGACACGGGCCAGCAGGATGGGGCCTGGGCATCCCACACGGACATTTATTCACAGACACACACACACAGCCTCAGTGTCCTCCTCACACGACCTGTTGTGCAAAGCACCTGGAATCTCAACGTGAGGGAGCTTGTCACAACTCGGAACGGCAGGGAAGAGAGCAGAACCCAACAGACCGTGAGTGAAATTAAGTGCCCATATAGCCACATAATTAAGTTGTGCAGATCAGTCCTAGTTTGGGATTTAAACACAGTCATTGGGGGCATTGGGAAAAGGTGTTTTTATATATATATACACATATACACACATGACACATTGAGCAAAATAAGATTTGTCCACATTATGATTAATCCAGTCTCATGGTCACCCACCCCAGCCCTGTGAAGTCATTTTGGCAGCTAACACTAAAAAACAACAGGAACCATGAGAGTTGCATAGAATTGATCTGAAACGTGAAAAATGCCAAACCAAAACCTGTGCATCATACAGTTTAACAAAACTAGACTGCTCCCACCGCACCCAGGAAACCCTCCTCTCTAAAAGTGCTTCTCCATTACCCAGGGACCCTCTGCGGGCACTGACCAGTAAGAATTACTGGAGTTCCAGGTCCTCTGCCCCACCCCACCCTGCCACAGTCTGTATAACGTGTATTAAAAAAAAAATTAAAGTTTTAGAAAAAAAACAGCCTGAAAGGATTCCAACTCTGGTGGTCACCTCAGCCTACGGGCTGGGTGAGCCCGGGGGGCCTCAGGAGTGATCTAGAGCGTCCGGAGCAGCGGCTGGGCTGACAGGCCTGTTAGTGTCAGTAGTTAGGAGAGCCTGACCCCAGAGGCTGCCTGCTTCAGGAGCTCTGGTCCAATGACCTACCAATATGCTTTAGGAATCGGACTTAGGTACATCTGGTCCTGGGACACGTCACAGAATCACACATCTGGCCAAGAAGGCAACAAAAGGTCGTGTTTCCTGACGGTGTCTGGAGGCTGCGGCTGCTCAGCAAGTCTCTTTCCCTTGAACGCCAGTTGCTGTCTTTATGGAGCTCAGTGTTCGGTTAAACCACGTCTTCTTGGCAGCTTGTACCTCATTTAGGGCAAGGCCCAAATGGTGCTCCAAGTCCTGCAAGGAAGACTGCATGAGGCTGCTGGCTCCAGTGCCCAAGACCCCGCTGCCTCCCCAAGAGCTGAGCAGGCAGGAATTCAGTCTGTTTACTTTTGAGAGGCCTCTGGAAATTACCGTCTCAAACTGGCATGGAAACATCTGGAGTGCCTAAAGCTGTTAAGCCCGCCTAGTTTATTAACGCAGCCTCCTAAACAAACACCTCCCTTGTTCACCACTGCTCACCAGGCACACAGAGCTTATGCCCAGGTAAGACTGCATCATGGACTTCCAGGAAGAACCTTCAAGTCTACCCTCCCGAGCAAGGCACTGGAGACGTCGGACTGGGCCAACACACAGGCTGTTTCAGATCAGCACCCACATCCACCCCTACCTCTTGGGGCTCCTTACTGGGCAAGCCCACACCTCCCTGTGCCTAATCTTCCTCTTCAGCTGCAACCTGTCCAATTCTTTGACCACAGCTCAGACACCGATTGCCTGTCCTATGAGCCATGTCTTAGCTTTGCCACCCCAGCATCGAGAACAGGGCCTGGCAAAGGGCAGGACCCAGTGAATGTGCGTGATGCGCAAGGCCCAGCCTAAGCTTGGTTCCTTGTGCATAGTACCCTGGTGCTGACAGAACTAGCCAGTGTAAAGATGACCAGCTCAGCCCCACTTCCTTCATCAGGAATGGAGGTCGGATCAATCAGGTAACATGTCCAAAGGCACAAAGCTAGCTAGATGATGGGAGCTGGGACATAAGAGCCAACATTTATAAAGCTCGCACACATTGTAAACTTTTTCTGTGCATTATCTCCTTGTCCTCACTCATCTCCACTTATAGATGAGACGAATGTAGAAGGTTACTGACTCACTCAAGGTCGAAGACTGATAGTAGAGCTGTGACTTAAAAGGACATATTCTCTGCTCCACCAAGAAGCTCCCAAGCTTGATAATTATGGAAAAGGTCAATGCTTAGAACAGGACAAGTAAACATCCACTGGTAAATAACACGTAATAGGCTTCTTCCCGTGAACATCATAGTCAAAGATGACAAGAGCAAAGAACCCCAACCCATAAGGTCTTGCTGGCGTTTCCCACACCAGGACCCCTCTGGCTGGTCCAAGTCTCATGGCAGCGAGAGAAGAGGCAGCGCTTTGGTCCCAGGGGAAGGGGGGAGAGGTGGCTGTTACCTGTATCTTACACTCGGCCTCCACCAGCTGCAGCTTGGTCTGGGCCAGCTCCAGTTCCATCTCTCGCAGCTGGTTCTTGAGCGTCTCCTTCTCCTCATCTGTGTCCTCATCTAAAACTTCCTTAGCCACGCTGATGCCCTTTATGCGCCCTTCTTTGTTGAAAAACTCTCGGCAGCGCTCACAGTCATCTACTTTTTGCTAAAATTGAATGTCAGATGTAAAGAGACAAGAAGAGAACTGGTCGTTTAGAAGGTGTGAGCATCGCCCTCCTGGAGCCAAGAGGTGGCTTCTCAGTAGGCACCACAGCTTCTGAAAATGTGCCCTCCGTAACAGGAGACAGCCGAGGGGAAAACCACCTGGCCCTAGACACAGAAAGCAGTGGAAACTGATGTCGTGTTCCAGTCAATCATCACATCTAAGACTGTGGCTAAACACGAGGCAGCAGTGACTAGATACAATTTATGTACAAGGATTTTCACTGCAGAATGAGAGACGCTTCCCGGCACCTGGGAGAAATTCAATACACTGGGCTGTGTTTATATAGGAAGTGTGCAACCTCTAAGTTTCTGGAGGAATTTTTCATAAAATGGAACACAAAAAATGTATATATAGTATGGTTAAGATAAATATCATAGTTCATAAAAATAAGATCCCACTGACTGTAAGAAACATCATAACGTCATCGTATGTTCTTCTAAGAAAATATTCTACCAACTAAACCAAAACCTGCCCCAATTTCAGAGATGTGAATGTGAAACCATGCATATCTTAGAATAAATGAAATTATGTATATTAAATAGAACAAAGACTGAAAGCACATACACCCAAGTGTGCACAATGGTGATGTTATCTGTGGATAACAAGATTGTAAGGAGTGACCAGCCATTGTGGCTCAGTGCCTAAGTGTTGACCAATGAACCAGGAGGTCATGGTTTAATTCCCAGTTGAGGCAACATGCCTGGGTTGCAGGCTCAATCCCCAGTATAAGGCATGTAAGAGACGGCTGTTCAATGATTCACTTTCATCACTGATGTCTCTCTCTCTCTCTCTTTCCCTCTCCCTTTCTCTCTGAAATGAATAATAAAAAAAAAAAATATATATATATATATATATATATATATATATATAAAGATTGTAAGAGGGTTTTTTTCTTATATATTCTTCCAAATTTTCTGCAGTTTTATTAGTTCTGGAATCAGACAACAAATTATATTTAAAAAATAGCTAGTGCTGCCGAAACCGGTTTGGCTCAGTGGATAGAGCGTCGGACTGTGGACTGAAGGGTCCCAGGTTCGATTCTGGTCAAGGGCATGTACATTGGTTGCAGACACATCCCCGGTGGGGGGTGTGCAGGAGGCAGCTGGTCGATGTCTCTCTCTCATCGATGTTTCTGGCTCTCTATCCCTCTGCTTTCCTCTCTGTGGAGATTCAATAAAATATATATTTTTAAAAAAATAGCTAGTGCTGAGTAAACACTTCTGGTGGGCACTGGGCATCATCTTGCTCCAGGGAGAATGTTCTAAGCAAACATGGTCATGAGCATAGAACTCTCCATTTTCCTCTCCACTGAAGCGTAAGTATGTGAGGAAAGCATCTTTCAGTAAAGGATTCATCTTAGTAAATGTGGTAAGTATTCTTACACAGGCACAGCTTAAAGAAAGCAAGCATCGTTACAAAAGCTCCCAAATGGGCAACAAGTGCACTTTAAAAAGTCCAGTCATCGCTGTGGCAGCACAAGGAAGTGGGCTGGAAGAGGAGTGTCCATGCAGGTGGGAGGGACACGGCAGTCCTGGCCTCCAGGCCCCAGTGCTGGCAGCATGCACTGCCCACGCGGCAGCACTGGAACCTAGAGCCACCTGTTTTGTTTACAAACTCCCCGGAGGAGATGGTGGACACATTTAAAAGGACAAGGACCTGGGACTTTGAGATCTAAAGCCAGAGCTCTTTGGGTTTCATTTGTATTCCCCTCCAGAGGACACAAGCACAGTGTCAGCTGTAAATCACTGAGTGAGGCTGTGGTATCTGCCAGCTTCTCTCACCTCTGAAATCAAAGCCCCCCCCTTACCCAAAATCTGCAGTGCTGGTGACAGCCATAAACTGGGCTAGGGGCTATAAAATTTCTTTGATAAAGGGAGACTCACCCGAATTTTCTCAATTTCCACTTTATTAGCTGTCTGCTGCTTCTCCAATCTTTCACTCAACTGAGAACAAATCTAAAGAAACAGACATAATGTCAAATTAAAATCTCTTGAGCAATGCCGTCAGCTACACACTTTGGGCTGGGGACAAAGTCTGTGGTGGCCACACCGCCTCTGCATCCATTAGCCTGGGACTTGCAGCACTATTAGCATGGCTACCGTTTCTGCACCATGTAACCACACATACACATAAGGTGCAACTTGTTCCTGAAATACGCCCAGGAACATAGTGTGGCTTCACTTACTAAGGGCACTCACTCTGCCTGGTGCTCTACCCACATACCCGAGATCGCAACTCCTCCCCTTGCTCTACAGTTGGCCAGGCGTGCAGTGACTGGTCAGAGCCGGAAGCTCCCGGGGTTGGAGGGGCACATTCCCTGGGGACAAACGGGTTGCCTGGGGATACAGCCCAATCGCCTGGTGCGCGGACCCACCTGCTTGTAGTCGCCGATGATAGAACTGTTCTTTTTAATC